AACTTAAAACACGTGTAGTAACTACAATTAGCAATACAAATGCTGACCATACCAGTGCATCATTATAATTTAATTCCAGGTTGATTTATGGAAATTGACTCGTGTGTATAAACAACTGTGCACCTACGTTAAAGAAATTCTTAAGTCTCTTCCCATTTCAATATTCAAACAACTCCTCTGCGGAAGATTTTTTTTTTCTTTTGTTAAACAATAATATAAACTCAATTAAGACACCACTAGCCTAGAACCTTTCATTTTGGTTTACTTGTTTATAATAACATTTATTTCATTTATATTGTCTCCAATGAAAAAGCCTTTAAAACCTCTAAAATGTAACCAAATGTAAAATCGTGATTTTACTTTGTATTTGTGACAATTCTCATTTTACTTTTAGTTTTGTTATGATGATGGTGAATAGACATAAAATGAAAAAAAAAACATTTAATTTTATGCTTTGGGTGCTTTAAAACAAGGTTATAAAAAGGCAATAAAAGACAAAATGCCTTTTGATTTCCCTAAACTCAAACTCCTGTGTTTTTAATAAAGTCTTCCATGTGTATTTTCCGACAGCCGAAGCTTAATTGGAGTGATTGATGCAGTAGACTAACTTACGTCCGACTTCCATTAAAGGAAAGAGCAGGAATCAAGATAAAGGGAATGGAAGCCTAAATAAAAGTGACAGCTTTTAAATTGGGAAAGAAATAAGCACTGTGTCGTGTTCATTAAAAACACCAGCTGAGGAAAAAAAGTATTTCTAAAGCCTCACTAGACACTAACATCTTCTGTACAGGCAAAGGTTCAACAAGTAATTCCATCTAATTATAACATTTGTAACAATCATAAATTTAGTATCGAAATTCAGGCTTTTGAAATTACAATACCTGACTGAGAAAGTGGAAAAAAGAAAAAATTAACTCAAGGCCATCACTAAAAATCAGACACAGTTAAACTGATGACGACAAAGAAAGTAAACAATGACAAAGAAAACTTGCATCACCTTATAAAATCATGGAGAAATAAATTCTAAACATCTGCATAAAAAAAATACACTGACTTTCCTGCTCTTACTATGGCATGAAAAACATCTCAGTTAAGGTAAAGGGATATGAACATTTTTGTTCTCATGTTCGCTGAAAAGAAAACTGCTCAAATAAGAAAGTCAAATCTTTTAAAGGGTATGTATAAAACAATAAGCAAAAACACCCAATGCCAATTAAACAGCTTTTTAAAACCCCACTGTCCGGATTAATATAAATGCATATCACAGTCAAAAAACATGGTTAAATATGTTCAATAATACAGTAGACGTCCCAATAACCATGTAACTATCTCAAGCAAACTTTCCTTTGGTTTTCTGGTTCTCCTACAAATCACTCAGTACTATTATTTTACTACACTTCTTGCACTAAACCGATAAACCACAATATTCAAATTCCTCTTTATACTTAGAGTTTAATCCAATGGTTTGAAAACAGAGAACAAGCTGAAACTGGAACACTTTGAACTCCTTTCAGAATAGGTTTTATTACAAACTCTAGAAGCACGGTGAACATAAAACACACTTGTCCATTCATATTTAATTTGTGTTTATGCTAAATAAAACATTTAAACAGTTTCAGAGGATTACCAAATACACATATGTTTATGATTACACACAAGCATTGCATCAAATGCAGATAAGATTGTGTGTAATGTGCATTATAGCAGGTAAAGGATTAACAGAAGAACGACATTTTTTTCCTGTCCCTATCTGATACTGATGAGGCCTGAATTCATCTGCCCCTTTTTAGAATTGACAATAAGTGCATAACATGAACTGCATCACTTTTCGGAATATATGAATTCTTAAGCAATTTGATATTAACTAGACTTTAAGTAAATAGTAAAACCAGGTTTACCATTTTGAAACTCATTACTGAGTCAACTACGATTCTGTGCTGTGCAGAGCTAGGGTAAGAATAAGCAGAAATGAAGGGAAAATTTTCACAATAATCAAACCAAACTGCAAACACATTTATAAAAGTTTTGAACAAGTCACCTCTATTTAATTCTGTTTAAATATGTTACAACAGAAAGTCATTTATCATATTCTGTTTGAAATGGAAATTACAAATTTCTTATGACAGAAGAAAAAAAATCTGTCAAGAAGTAGACCTTTCAGAGCCATTGTACTCACGTCCTTAATTTAATACCTTCAAATATTTAATCTACGAACTCTGAGAAGTACAGTCACACTAATATGTTAAAGGTGAAATAATAGGAAAGGCATAACACCCTAAATATTTGTTAGACATATTGGACTCTGCAGACCGTAGTTAACTTTGATGTGCTTAGAAAATAAAATGAACGCATTTCTGGCTTATGATGTGATTAATAGCATAAAGTGTACCCTTATGAAAGAAGCAGTCCACAGTAGGGTGATTAATCTAAGTGAGCTGTAAGCACTTTGGGAGCTAACCATAAGAAATATACACAGAGATACAAAAAGGTCAATTAACTATCACTCACTATGCATTTAGTAATTAGATTTTTTTTTATATGTGGATGCTAAGCTTTTATCTTCAGGACATTCACATTATTATATAAAATAATTCAAATTTACTCGGCAATTAAAAAAAATACATTTTTTCCCCAACTGTAATGTCCCTTCACAAGGAAGATGTAAATATGCATTCGGGTTTAAGAAAGCAATCTCCCCCTCTTTATATGTCTTTTAGTCTATAGTACACATTACAACTCAGGGCATTTAACTGGAAATAGTGAGATATTCAATCATGTTTTAAAATGATTTCTCCATGGTGATTTAATCAATGCCTAATCAGTCTGAGCAAATGCATAGTAACCTCTGAAAATAAAATAATACCAGCATACTACAGAAATCACCAATACCTATTATCCAAATAAAAGCTAAAATACAAGTGTCATGTTAAATCAAATTTCTCTTAATTTAAAACTTGTTGAAAATAATTCAGAGTTAATCTACAATTTGCCCCTCTGTTTACACTATCACTTTATAATAAAAATATAAAGCCATTTTATAGAAGTTCTAATTAAAAGTGTAACCGAGCTTCAGCTTATTTAACATTCAAATAGTGCTTACAAGGCAGACTTATTTTTTAGGATATTCTAACTAAAGTAATAGAAGTAATAGTAATAGAAACCACAGACTTTCATGTAACTATACTGCCTTTCAAACAGCAAGCTTACTGATTATGTCTGACAATGTACCCAAAAAGCAAGAAGCATAATCATTAGACCAGGCAGTTTTTTTAAAAGTATTCAAACCCTGGCACAGTTTTCACATTTTGTTGCTTTAGTGCTTGCAGTCGTGATACTTTGAAGTAGCAATTAATATTTTTCAACCTACACATACATTCAAAACAAGCTGAATGTGTGGAAGTAAAAAAGGCTGTTGAAAGGAACTGAAAGAAATAAAATGCTAATTTCAAATGGAGTTTCTAACTAAGTGATACTGTAAACATGCAGCAAAAGGCTTTATGGTCCGACAAGATAAAATTGGAGCTTTTTGGTATGAATGCAAAGCACTGCATTTGACATAAGCCCAGCAGTGTCAATAGTCAATACCATCCCTGATGGGAACATAGATAGAGCAAAGTACAAGTAATCTTAGATAAAAATCTGCTTCAGACAAACCGAGACAAAATCAACTTTCAGCAAGACAATCTTAAACACAAGGCTATACCTCCAATGGAGTGGCTTATTAATAAATAAATGAATGCCCTTGAGCGTCCTGACTGAATGCTGTTGAGTCTCTTAAAACTGCAGTCCATACGTGATCCCAAGTCAGGACAAACTGGACAAAATTGCACCAAACCAAAGAGCAAAGATGGAAAAGATTTACCAAACATCTCTTTCAGGCTATAATTACTGACAAAGCTGTTTTTCACTAAACATTGAGTTTAAAGGTCTGAATATTTATGCAATCCAAAATAAAATATAATAAAGTTTAAAAGAAGCTAAAAGAAGCTTTATTTTGGTCTCCTTAGTTTTATTAGACATTCATTACCATTTATATTACTTTTAAATACTCCAGTTATAAAAAAAACAGGTATTGAAGAAAATTTCAAATGTAAAAAAAGAGAATCATTCATAATTTCACCCAATGGGACACTACAGGAGGGGTCTGAATACTACTTAAAGGCACAGTATCTGACAGTCTGGTTTTTAACCCAGGAACCGAACTGCAAATCCTTTGGCGGGTGATTTGCAATTGGCAAGTAATTTTCTGTATTTTGTATCGTGACTAGTCTTTGCATCCTGCATATTTGATATTTAAGATTTACTGCATTCTGTCCTGTTTAAAGCTTAAAGGATTAATGTTCTCCATTAACAAAATACAGGATAATTAAATATCATTACATGACGCTCAAGTTCCTATTATGTTACCTGCAAAGATACAATTAAGTACACTGTTGTCAGAATGAGTGACAGAGTGCAAAGCATATTTAACTTAGGTGGGCTTGTCCTGGGTCAGGTTTTTTATTTGCAAATTTGCAGTTCTCCTATTAAAATTTTATACTGTAAGCAAGATAAAGGTGGTGGGTTTTGCATTATAGTGGTGGAGGAAGTGGCCCCCTCCAATGTAAAGAACTTTGTGATCTTTTGGGATGAAAAGCCATAACAAAGATTAAGCTATTAAATAAGTTATTTAAGTTATTAAACTTCTTGTAAGGGATTTACTAGCCATGATTAATATCCTAAATTCAGGGTTTTTAAGTGGATAATTGCATGGTTCAGTTAGTACAAGAGTCATTACTTGACTTGTGTTGTACATTGGATTGTTAAAAGAAACCAAATGAATGGAAGAACATTATCTGAATCACTATATTTTTTTTCCCAAAAATCTAAAAACCTCACACTCGACATTGTCATTCACATGCTTCACATAAAGATGCAATTTAACCAGTAATACTGCTACTGGACACAACAGTTAATATCAAAACGAATGCTTTAAAGGCAGACCCAAGAAAAACACTTACCGTCACTGATTTCAAAGTCATGCCGTGGTAGGTGCCCATGGTGTCGATTTTGAAACCCTCCGTTTCTAAATAAAAAAAAATATTAATTCTTAATTTTCTTTATGGAATAAAATTACTTAACATAATAACAGCAAATGTAACACAAACAGAATTACCCAAAATCAGAAATGGGTTATTTTATTTATTGTACGTAAAATTCAGAATACAAAAGGTTTACTATACAAGGTCTGGAAAAGAAAACCCATGATTTTCTTGCGGCAAAAAGAGAGCTCAGCTGCAACATGAAAACTGAAATGCAATATTAAGGTGCATTTTAGATGGAAAGATGGAGCTAATAAATGGTCATAAATTAATGATTTTAATAGACAACACTAATGCTCCACAGCTATGCTAAATTACATGCTTAAATGTGTTGTAAGGTTAACAGGACCGAATAAGCAATTTTAAACGTATTAATTGAAACTTAGACCCATTCGAATAAATGAACCAATTTATGACGGTATCTGGCATTTAGCAAAACTGTCACATGTAGAAAAGAACCAAGATTAGTTGAAACCATTCTATATCAATTTCATAAAGCAATAAGCTGGGTCCACATTTAAAACTATTTAAAAATCAAAACATCAAAGTGTATTTTTCCCCATTGTATTTCCCCCCATGATTAAAGCCTAGGTAGCCAATTAAAAAAAAACATGTTGCTCCCTGCCAGTGACATTAGATCATGGTTGATGTAAAATTAATCAAGGGAATTTGTGGATTCACGTGCTATTACTTTCCTGACTTTGTAATGCACACTGAGTACTTTAGCACAAAGTGTTCCTCATCTTTTGTCATCCCATTCAAAACACTCAACATTTGAAATCACATCTCTCTTGCAGTTTGTAACCCTGATCATTAGTCCCAGAGTCCATTTAACATACACTTCCATCCTCCACTTTATTAATTGACATGTGCAGGGTCGGAAATAACCCTCGCATTAGAGACGCGTGAGTTTTTTAATTCTCCAGCACATCTCTGCAGACCGACTAATAAATCAGAATCAGACTTGGACAAATATTAACAATAATTAACATCTATGCAACACACAGATGTGCAAATCTATGTTTCAGAGGCCTATGTCCTGCAGAAACAGAAAAACCCAGTATTCCAGCCCTATACACCAAATGTTTAACATGTCAAAAACAGAATAATCTGTATTCTCATATAGAACTATAAGAATCAGAACTAAAATCTCTCTTCTTAACATGGATACCCAAAAGTGAAAGGGAAGCTGCCTATTCCAAAAATGCTTTAAACTAGGAGAGAATATTTTTACTCCGGAAGTCCACATGACAAATAAATCAGAATTTCATAAAATAAACAAGACAGCTCTTCAGATTGTTCAGATTATGCTGCCACAATGTACTCTTCAAGACTGATCAGAACAAGGTCCTCTCGCATAGCAAAAGCTTAATCGAAGAAGAGAAGAATGTACTCAGTTTCTCTCCCTGTTTAATAATAATTGCTTACACTTATATAGTGCTTTTCTGGACACTCCACTCAAAGCACTTTACAGGTAATGGGGACTCCCCTCCATTACCACCAATGTGCAGCATCCACCTGGATGTTGCGACGACAGCCATAGTACGCCACAACGCTCACCACACATCAGCTATCAGTGGGGAGGAGAGCAGAGCAGAGTAATGAAGCCAATTCATGATGGGGATTATTAGGAGGCCATGATTGGTTAAGGCAAATGAGAAATTTGGCCAGGACATTGGGGTTACACTCCTACTCTATTTGGAAAACGCCCTGGGATTTGTAAAGACCACAGAGTCAGGAGCTCAGTTTTATGTCCCATCTGAAGGGTGATGTCCCCATCACTATACTGGGGCATTAGGACCCACATGGACCGCAGGGTGAGCACCCCCTGCTAGCCCCACTAACACCTCTTACAGCAGCAACCTAATCAGAATCCTAGATAACATCCCAGTTAGTCATGTTAATTTTATTTCTGGATTTTGTAAAAAAACTATTGTTAGCAATAACACTTGTTAATTTTTTTTCCTCATACATTTTATGTCAACAGTGCATAAGATTGTGTATTGTAGACCTTTTTTTTGCCAAAATTGAAGAAGCAAACCACCCTTTTTTTATTTTACTTTCACTTCACAAAATCTTTCCTTAAGGGAATAACCTTGGTGTAACCTCACAAGCAGAATGTGATGTATGTTTTATACATATTCTTCTCAGGAATGACTCTTCAAAACATTAAAGTACAACCTTAACTACCTCTTTTTGATAACGCATCCTAAATTATTTTACATTATTAATAACAATACGTATTGGTGCATTTAACTGGCATTCAGGACAGATTTGCCTCAATTGCAAAGAGAAAATGCAGAGAATAGACAAAAATACTCTTTGCTATAAAATTAAGAAAAAAAATCTTGGTGACAAGTGGGACGCAGACTCCAGAATGTTGTCAGTTTTATTGCATAGATCAGCACATTTTGCTTGCTTACAGCCAAGGAGCTCATTTATTCTGGGTGCCATACGGCACTATTTCTGCATCTGTGAAACGGTTAACTGGTTTTAACTTTACACAATAATTTCTCCCAAAGCAAAAAACCTGCTGGTTTATTATTAAGTGGAGGACATTCAAAAGTATAGTTTATTATTCCTTACCAACTGCCATGAACTGCAAAAAAAAGCTAAACATGGCTTTTACAAAACTCCATAATCCCATCGATAATCAGTGCAGTTTTTATGTAGCCTGGACAAAGACTTTCTGCATTTTACTATAACATAATTTTAGAACTCTGAAACAATTCTTCTACTTCCTGATGTAAAAGCAATATATATGCTCCTTGAAACTGTACTTCAGCAGACTGTAGAAATTAATAGTCACATCAAGATTTTTGTGCTTGTGTCTAGTCCCTACCATTCATTTTGTCAAAGATAATATACAATATCCTCTTTAGATGATACATTTATGTAAAAATGAAGTTTGACTTTACTATTGCATTTACTTTATCACACTTAACCAAATTCTTTTGTTTCATTTGCCTTTAATGTTTGACCACAATTGATGGTTAAGGAAGAAAAACATCATTTTACCATCAAATATTTGTAGTGAGAAAACACACTGAAACAAAGTAAATTTGAATGTACTAGGAGAATGTTATCTCTCATTAAAAATGGATAACAGAACAAAGCTATTGTAGACTTCTGTTTTTCAGCATCCACTATGGCTGCCTACATTAGTTACACATGATTACCGATGTAAAAGCAGATAATTTTATATTAGAATTCAGATATTCATCCTTATTTAAACATTTATGGGCCAAAGGGAAATAATATATACCTATGCTGCTGATTAGAAGCAATATTTTTAATGAAAAGTTAATTTTCCCAGAAAATCTAAATTCCCTAGACTTTGTTCTGTCTCCCTCTATAGCAGCATGAGTGTTTTTCTGGTAGCTGTGCTGTAATAATTTTGTCTAAATAGTTCAAGAAACAAATTAAATAAAATGTATAATTTCTCTTTAAAGCCATCTTGACAGGACATAAAACTTTAATGCTGAGTCAAAGCACCATTCTGTGAAAATGCAATAGTTTAACCTCTACTAAAAACGAAAATTGCACACATTTTTATTATATAAAAAGGAAACATTTTTGTGTTGTGTGAAGAAAGAAAGATGATGCATCTTTATCTGACTTAAGTAAAATACACTGTGCACTTTTTATAAGAGGAAAACCTATCATGCCCATTTTATGCTAGTACTAGAAATTTCTATCAACTGAATTTCATTCACTGATTAGTTTCTACAAACAAGAAACATTTTATATCAGCTATTCCTCAACATGAAAATGCAATCCACAGCTCAAGTTAAACCAACTACTGTAAATATATCACTTTTCATATATAGAAAACACAGCAGCTAAAACCACAGGATCAGATGAAATATTTAAATCCAAAATTGTGCAAGGATGATCAACTGGTCCACACTGCAAAAATAATCAACCATTTCAATGTTCGAAATGTGGACCAGTTGATCATACACAATAAAAAGCATCAAATAGAATTAATATTCAGTAACCTTGAACCAAACTTCTGCTAATAATCATTTTCTTAATCCTTCCAAAACTGAAACCGATACCAATTTTACCACACTTTGTTAAATAACCACTTGTGCAGATGTCATAAGTTGAGAACACATTTATTTTGTTAAAATATTAGCATAGCTGGATAGTCAAATCAAAATTATGTTTAGAAGCAGAAACATACAAAATAGTTCAGGTGGGTAGTTGCGTCAGCATGCGTAGGCTGCAAAGGAACAAGTAATAGGTTTATTCCATGCTGAAAAAAAGAAGAAGAGAAGAAAGAAAATTTTCTTCTTTTTTTCAGCATGGAATAAATCTATTACTTGTTCCTTTGCAACATTCAAAATATCCTGCTCTGAGTACATTTTGAAACAAGATTTGTTTCTGTTTTAAAGACAATTCATCATGGAAGTAATAACTATTTAAAATACAAACTATACAAAATGAATCATTTAACTGAAGAAACATTGCAGATTATGCAGGTAGCTTTTTTAAATGTGGTGTCTTCACTTAAACTGTTATATAAAAGCTTAGTTTTCATTCTCAAGCCAACATTTTAAGTGCTGCAAATGCATGTGAGAAAGAGCAACAGCAAGAGATCTCAGGTCTGGAGGCAGCACAAAGTTTGCAGAAAAAGAACTATGCAATCTATAAATAAAATGTGGTATGATCTAACAATTTCCCTGCTGCTGATAATGAAACCATCTTGTTTGCTAAACAAAACAGTTCTCATTTCTGCTGAAATGTTGAGCCACAGAATACTGAATTACAATCAAACTACAACCTTTAATCCCTAACCCATGGTTTAACTTCTGAAGGCATTCTTCATACATCCTTTGCTTTTCAACATAACTTTGTCTTAAGTGCATTCTATATTTAAAACAATATGGTAGTTCAGAACAGCAGGATATATTTGTTTCCCTGCTTGTGCAAAGGGTGGCCCAGTGGCCCAGTAGTTAGTATCACTGCCCTGCAGCACTGTGGCCCTGGGTTCAATTTTCAGGGGATGTTTGCAAGAGTTATTTTCAGGGAACTCTGGTTCTCACAAACCAGTTTAAAGTTTACATTGGGTTTGCCAGTTCAGAAGGCAAATGACCACTTCAAAATGGTCAAAATACTTTTAAAACCACTATTGAGTACTTAACCAGTAACCCAATGTCTATGGAATACACATTAGTAACAGCTTTTACAGCTGAGATCTTAACTTCAAATGACCTTTTTTGCCCCCATAATCCTCAATCAAAATAGAATAACCCAGCAACAATTCTAAGACTGATTTATAAATAGCCACACAAAATATAAAGGAACGGTGTAACTTTTTCTGAATTTCATACTTGTTTTAACAAAACATTGCCGATTGAAAGCCCTAGAGGGAAATCACGTAATTTCACTTCATATTGATCCACCAGGTTTCATTTAAGAGGGAAACAACTCAACTGGCAAAACGGTGGTTTCAACATTTTTAATACAAACTAAAAATAATTAAACTATACACCTTAACATGAGTATACACTAGTATAAAAATATAGGTATGAACAAATTAACATTTAACATTAACATTTTTTGGCAACTTCCCCAAATCCTCACTTTCAATCTTGCAGAATATAAAATAAGCCCACACAAACTTATCTACAAAAGAACCAGAGCCCTGCTTTCATTATTGTGCCAAACAATGGATTAATTAAGCATGTATATAGAAGCTATTGCATATGAAAGATCAAAATTATATTGTTAGTTTTTACCCTATAATTTCTTATGCTAAACATGTAATTTGGTTTTTAAGCAACTGTGATTAAGTTCCCTATAACTTTAAAAAGAACAAAAGACGAAGCAATTACAATGGGTGAACTATTAGAATCATAAGCTTTCCTGTGCATATTAAAATAGCTTGCATCTGTATATTCATTGTGAAGCGTTCATACAAGGGTTGTACTTCAACAGAGCAAAATAATATATAGGTCCACTTCTGCATACTTTCAGAGGAATATTTTTGAAATACAGAAAATGACTGGTCAGTATATAGTTTACACTCCTATATTCTCCCACAGGTTAAAGGCATTATGTACACTCAAAACAAGCATTCTGAATCCAGATTTACATAAGTGCCTACAGGCAACAGTTGGGGTTATGCACGTCAGGTGGAAAGCCAGTGTGGTCTGGCATCTGGTTAAAAAAAAATGTCATTCCCCTGTGTATAAACCTTTATATAATTTCTGACATTTGGGGGGAAAAAAAAACTTTTTACCCTGCAGAAGTAAAGCATCCTGAGAAATGGAATACAGGAAATACAAACGTTGCTGCTTAATGGTGATCAACATTAAACCATCAATTTTTTTTTTCTGCACTGCACTTTTATGAGAAAAAGACAATACAAGATGCATATACATTTCTACTGAAAACGTCAGGTTTGAGGCTGAAGAGCAAACAGTAAGAATTAGGTGGATGGATATTAGTTCTCTGTTTTACAATACTGAAAAGCACTACTGTCTAAATGGACATCTAATTCTACTCAACATACAGTGCCAACATACATACTGTGGAACTTAATTACAGTTGCTTAAAAACAAATTACATGTTTAGCATAAGAAATTATCTACACACTACACACCCTTTCTACTTTGGGAATTAACAGCCAGAAATCAAGATGCATTAAATTAGAATGTATTTTACCTTTACACAATGTAACACAAGCTCCAAGTGAAATACAAAAGCTTGAATGTTCTGAAAAGTAACTACAAATAAAAACCTAGAAAAAGGACTGAATTAATGTACATACTGCTTAGTAACAGCAATTGTAAATTAGTTCTAATGTAACCAACTGCCTTCCAAATCACACAACAGCTGATCATTCTCCACCCGTGTTCACTTGTAGTGATTCTGATGATTATATGATAAACATATACTTAAATGTTAAACAAACCACAGTATCTTTCTGAACTCTTGCACACCCTAAAAGCTAAACAAATGGAAGACTTGTACTTCTTAACCGTACACTAAGGAGTACACTAAATCCTCATTACAGAAAAGTTCACTTAATAATTCAACACATTTGAAACACTTTTTTGGTTTGTGTAATGAATTTGCTACAATATGTCTAGTCATGCACATAATTAATGACAGCAGTGCCCAAACTCCCTCACACAGCCTTTGTACCAAATCATTACATATGGTAGCCTATTCAAAATATCAATTTTTGTGAGGATTCAAAATATACAGCCCTCCATACACCGGCTGCCTCGGACCCATCAATTTCTTCCAGTAAGTGAATCATTTTTTGTCCTTCGCTACTTTATATTATTCTTCTTTTAATAAGTACGGTTTACAATCAAGTAATAAAGGTATACATGTACTGTACTATAGTGAATATATGTACTGTAATTCAAGGAATACACCCCTTTCATAAATTGAGCAGATGGTATATCACACATTGTTCCAATATGGCCACCGAAAAAAAAAATCTTCTTAATTTATGTTGAACATCTACACCAAAAGCATTCCATATAAAGACATGAAAGTGATAAGCAAAACAGCTCAAAGGTATGGATGTGTCCAGTTTCTTTCAGTCACACCTGGGTGAAAAATATAAAAGAAGTTACATTTACCTTCTTTTCCTTTGAACCTCTCTTGATCATATCTGTTGTAAGCAGCTGGCACTGGTTGCTTGTTTCTTAAGGAAGGGTCCTTAAAAATAAGTTAAAAGTTAGGTCACCATGATCAGTGCCACAAGTAACAAACTGTCAAGTTAGTGAAACTGCAATAAATAATGAATACCTCCTACTATATATAATAGTATATATATACAAATAGTATATATATACTATTATGAGATTTTTTACAGAACAGTACTTCTGCCTTGCAAATTTTCATCGACTGATTGACGTGATGCAGTGACATATGCAGGTAGCAGGGGGAAAAAAACTGGAAACACCAATGTAAAGTCAATAAGGTGGTGGGCAAGCACCTGGAGCTATCATGAACTGCCTATACTGTGGCAGAGTCTGAATTCTGAAGGCATGCAGCGCTGTTATTACACAAAAACAATCGATCAACTCATGCCTCTTTCTAGAACATCCCGTCAATTCTTGATTAGGTTCAGATATGGTTGCTGCCATGTCCGCACTTGTTTGTTGGGAACATGGTGAAGGAAAATGAATCTAACCATTTCACAATCGTCCACTGCTCAGTAGTCAACTGCTTATGCTCTTTGCACCACTGGACTCACAAACGTCCACCGCCAGTTTAACATGGCAGTTTATGCATTGGAACCTGATTCTGTAGTTTCATACTTTCAAATTTTTAAACAAACTGACTGCTTGTGCCCAGAATATAAATTTGCAGTCTACTGATTTGCGGTTGCATGTCTGTTTTGCCTTGCTCTTCAAAGCAATGAATGGATATCACTAAAATGGGAGTATTGAAAGTATGCATTTCTGCCTTCTGTTGCCCTATGCTGACTATGTCTTTCCCTTGGCTTTCCATGCAGATATCACCTTAAACTCTGTTGCTTATAGACCATTAACACGGTGAGCTGTCTTGATTACTGATGCTCCTGCCAAATGTACTCCAACAATCACCCCTCTTTCAAAGTCACCATGGTCTCGTCTTGCAGGTATGCTAGCCATAATTATATGCAACTAGGCCTTTCCAGCATTTTAAATGTCTCTAAGCATGCTAGGATGTTATTTGCTTAATTAATGTGTGAGTCACACCTGCATGGAAAACCTTGTATATTTGGGATCTCTCATTTACCTGAGTCTTTCCAGTTTTTTGGTCTACTAGCTATATAGCAACCCGGCCCCAGCCTTGCTCAGCTTGTCTCACATATTGCTTCCATCTTTTCCTGACAAAATGTCCAGTGTGAAACAAGCCGGAGCATTTAAGGGCTTCACCCAGGCTTATCAGTGTGGAAAAAGCAATAACTGAGCGAGCACATGGAATCATGCAGAATGACAGGTTTTGCTACAACAAGTGGCCACTTCAATCACTAATTCTGAAAGCTTATTACTGATTTCACTGCTGGGAAAGAGTGTGCACAGTGGTACTTAACAGTTGCAAATTTTGTTAGTTGGAAACACTCAAGAGGACAACGTGTATGCACACATAATTCTGTTAATGAGCAACAGTTGGCTTTTCGTTTTTATCTTTTATCACTCTCTTCAGCCTGCAGAGTTAACTGAAGACCAGGTGTTGAACCAGTGCTCAATCTGATGGTTAAAGCACTTGGGATGAGTCAAACACAGTCTGATGTCCATTTTGAAACATCAAAAAAGTATTTAAAAAGTGTCAAAGGTAATATATTGAGAAAAGTTTTTTAAATGCAATTTTCATGTAACATTTACTTGCTTAATTTAAATCTGACAATTAAGAAATTCTAAATAACTAATTAGACAGCTAAGAGTTCCAATGTGTATCTATCAGTACCAGAAACATGACTGTTTTTGGCAGTTCTAAAACATTAACTAGTCAAATAAATCTCAGGATGCCTCATGTGAATATCTTACTGAACAAAAGCATATGATCTAAAAGCTGAAACTATTGCTTAGGTCAGAACTTTAAGACTTTCATGAGGTGGTGTTTGTTTTCAGGTCAGTTTATAAACAGGAAGAAAACCAGGTAATGTTACATTATGTTTTTAAGATATTTATCTCACTGCTAAGGGATTTAAAATATATGGCTATTAGGAAACATTTTAAATGGAAGTCGTTCTTTAAGAAATTTTTAAAAACGACTTGAATAACAAACCTTTCTAAATCGTAATCTTTTTGCTTAAGCCAGCCAAGGTCTAAAATCCAAAAAAGGGTAAATAAGTAAATCATCTTATCTACTCAAACATTTTTTTAAAACTGCAGCAGAAAGGGGGTTCATTGCTCAAAGCTTATGAATTAACAGATGCAAGTACAAATATTTGTTTTATTGACACATATAAATGATACCTGTGGAATTTGTTTAGGCAAACAATGTAAAGAGTAATGACAGTAATCTTCACTGGATTAAATCTAAAGGTCTTGTTCAGCACGCACAAATAATCTGCTTACCACCTGCGCTGTATTCTGTGTTGGTCTTTGTTCAGGGGCACGTCCCTCTTCTCTCGCTTTCACAGACTGCAGAATTGCAAAGATGTTCTTAGCGAAGTTCTGCAATAAAATAAAGTAATAAATTATAACTGCACCCACCAAAATATACAATACACGAGGAAAATGAATTGTTATCAATTATTTTCTTCCTGCATTCTGTAGACTCATTATGTAAAGCCACCTCACTAAAAGTTGAGAATAGTGTGTTCTCAAGGTCAGACTCAAGACCTGATGTGGAGTGTGTTATTATTACAATTAATCCAGGTTCCCAGGAAGAATCCTATTAAAACGAATAATTGGGTATGCGGTTTGCAATGTGAATTGGAATGAAACCTAGTTTTTGCAGTCTCAAAATAAGATAAGAAGTTGAACAGCAGAAGGAAGTCTGGTAATGATGGTGGGAAAAATTAAAATTCACCCCTATTGTGCTCTCATGATCATCAGAGGTGATTTCTAAACATATCAATAATCCAGTCATTCATTCATAAACCTGGTTGTGATTGTCATCATTAAAGAAGATCCATCTGATGCTCAAGAACTGAAATATCAAAATTGAATGCTGAAGAGTCAAATTTAACTACAAAACCATTTTAATACCACACTTCAAGATAATTAGAGCATTTACTGTCTAATGATGGCTAACGTAAGAGATTTTGCAGTACTTGTTCTTAATAATCTGTGCCAGGACTAACAAAAGCATTCAATGGCAACTATGTAGAAAAAAATAAAGTAAATGTACTTCATGACTTTCAGCTTTCTGGCTGACAGAACAGTGATAGAAGAAAAATGGTGTACTTTGTTTTGTGTGCACTTTTAGACAAAGGTACAGTATTTCAAAGATTCTTTAATTCATAAGCACAAGAATGACTGGGCTGTTTCATTTCCATGGCAACCAGCAACTGATCTCCAGCGCTCCTTTACAAGGAAAAGTGTCAGTGACAAAGACAGAGCAACAGGGGGGTACAGATGGGGAACAAAATGCAATAAGTACAAAGGAAATACTTTACTGTAAGCCCAGTAAACGCAGTAAAGTTAAATTCTACTGCAAAACCACTGAGTGTCTCAGTTGCATTTCAATAAAACAAAGTATCAAATTAGAAAAATGTTTTCTCTTAAGTAGTAAAAGAATTAACATGACAACAAACATATATCAAACAAGGATTAAAACTTCCTTACAAAAGTCTGTGCTTTCCAATCTCAGTGCTCCTCTCGCAAAGCAGAATATAATGTGACATTAAGTTACACCATGCACCACACAATCAACCCATTTTCAATAAAAACGGCCATTAATCTGAACAATGGCCAATCATATTTCTCAAGCAAATCGTATTTCTGCTTGCACAGCATTTTTGTACACAGCTGGTAATGGATGCTACTGGCTTCTCTGAATTGCATTCGGCACTACGGCCTCACACGAATACAAGCTCCTCAGCTTCTTAGGTATTTCTTTGTCAACAATATATCAATGAAACTGAATAACCAAAAATTAATTAAAAAATATTCCACACCATATCTTTGTGATGTGTCTTTTTTGTCACTGTATGAAGGGCTGCTGGGGATGTAGAACTCTTTGTACTCCTCCACTGCCGTAATAAGTTTTAAGTCATACATTTTTTTTAATGATTCTTAAATAAACTTTTCATGAAAAACGGGATCAAGCCGATGGTTTTAAAACCTCACTATTTACTTGGCTCAGGTTCTCGTCAAGTGGTCATCTATTTCATCCACAGGGTTTTGAATGACAACACAGGGAATATTACAACACCATAATGGGAGGAAATTATGAAAAAATAATATGTAAATTGCATGATACTGTATAGCTAGTATTCATTTTTACACTTCACTGAAGAAGAATTCATAGAATTGGAACAGGATGAAGAGCTCTGCTGAGCTGTTTGTATGCTACTCATACTGCCAGTACAAACTGCAGCACTGACTACAATAGGTATGTAAAAGAAACACCAGATAGACATCAGGCACATGGAAGAAATACATCAATAATGCAGCTAGTATTGATTACCACCAGAGCTACGTCAGATCAAAATATTAAAAAATGAGCCAAGGAACAATAACTGCGTTTTGCTGTATCTTGGCACATCATAATTACTGTTCCGCATGCAGGTACGTGGCAATCATAAAAGGCAGAACAAATATTTACATATTTATAATTACATTCAACTTTGAATATTACTACTGTTATTCACTACCAGATAAAGGCATCATTTTGACTGTTAACATTCACAAAATTAAAAAAGTACGACTTTTCTGTGCAACTGTGGTTTATCATGGTGTCCATTTTTAACTGTTTATTCATTAGAGCTAGTCATGTGACATTAGTGCTGATTGGATACTGCCTGGAACCTAATCACTTGGAATAGGATTGCTGCCTGCTCCAACAATCTCAGGCCAAGTGGTTGCTAGAGCACTGATAGTAGGTTGCTAGGGGTTTTATATGGGGAAATATATCCAAAACACAGACACAAGGGATACACGTTGCCAGCAGATTACATCATGTAACAAGGGCCTTATACTGACTGGCTAAAGAAAATTAGTCATGAACATAGAAGACTATGAGGTGAGACTTCATTTAAGCATTCCAAATTGAATATATTTGAGATAATGACAAAATATGACTATTTGACTTCTTCAGGATCAAGAGAAACAAAACAGAGGACACAAGCAGATATAAAAAAAGTACTTTAATGACTGTAAACAGGAGGTACTTTTCACTGAGTTATAAGGGAATCTGGAACAAGCTATCCTGCCACACAGCTGAAGCTGATAACCTGGCTTCGTTCAAGACTGATGCATAAGACACTCATATCAATAATCTAGTAACAACCAAACAAGGTAAAAGCACCAAAAAGACTCCACTAATTAACTTATGTTTTTGATTTAAAAAATAAATCAATAAAAACTTATAAAAAACAACCTATATTCTAAAGTTAATTTACTTCACATTACAATAGTGTTAACTGAAATGCATATTACTCTATAACACTTCGTATTCTCAATACTCTAACAAACTTAAACCACCAATTTCCAAAAAGTTAAATAAGCTACAAGAAGGGATTTTAATTTAAATATGGATTTTTTGCTATCTTATTAAAGCTGTAGCATTATTATAGCTGTAGCACTGGGACGTACGATACATTCTCCTGGATTACTACAGAGCAATTGTGCCACCTACAGGGAACAAGAACAGAAGTACTACATACCTATATCAGGTAAAATTAACTTTTCAATTGTACAATATCCCAGTAATATAATAATTTATACCCCATATACAGTTCATAAGCACTATATGAAACAACCAAAACTGTCCTGCATTAAAGAAAGCACTTTTATATCATGGCATACATACACAGACCAAATGAGTTACAAATATAGTAAAAGGTGTTTGGATTGCCACAGGTTTCTCACCATATAATGCTTACAAACACCTCACAAGGGCTTCTGAGAACTAATGTATAATAATTAACTGGTGAAGGGGAAAAAAAACTGTTTATCAATTACAAATTCACAGCTTAAAAAGCCTTTCATAAGCAGCATAATCACTGTGGATACTTTGCTAATGCCTCAAACTGCTTTTAAGAAATGAACATCTACACTGGAGTTCCATGACATGTCAATGTCAACCTATTGTCGTTTCACATATGAAGTGGTATTATAGCCCCAGAGTCATGCAACCATCAAAACCGTAATATAAAAATAAAATGCCTAAATGAATAAGGAAATAGACATAACTCAGTAACTGACATGCAACCTCATTTGCTGACATACAAACGAATCCCTTCAAACCCAGTGGAAAAGCAGACTTTGCTAAGGAAGGTTAACTTATGAAACACTGAGTTTAAAAAAAACAGATCAGTAGATCAGATCTGCTAACTCCAATTACTACTTTATTCTTGTTCACAAAAGAAAAAGCAGATGTAAAAGCAGATGCATAATGATAAAAGTACATCTATATACAGTCTTGATAAATTTAGCCGAAATACTGAAACAACTGTCATGAAAATCATGCGTGGTGGAGCTACTGAATATAGCATAGTCTTTGCATGTGTATGAGAAGAAATTCTATATTCTACATTAAAATATCTACAAAAATTAAGTGGTTAGAGCTTGCATTGGCTTAACTGCTTTATAGCAGTCAATGCTCTCCCTCTACTGTGTCATTACTTACCCCATGTTTAGAAAAGATGGTAAGGCTCAGTGTTATTTTTTCAGTTGCAGTTTCAATCTAGAACAGTTGTGACTGCATTCCACTTTCAATATCAGATCTGCAGTGCAAAAATAGCCCTTCAACGTTTTGAGGTTTTGCTTTCAATGTATCGGTTGTTTCAATGGATCACGTACTCCAATCCACCTCCCGACACTTACTTTGCACTGCCATAGGTCAATTCTAAGTTCTAACTGGTTTGCAGCCACTGACTTAACATCGTTGACAGAATCTAACTTTTTTGACTTTTTTAAGTCAATTAAAAAAATGGTTTAAAGAAATAAATGTTAGATTTATAATAAAAATAAGTAATGCTACCAATATTTTTTTCCACACACTGAAAAAGACTAAGTACTTTAAGGTATCCAGTATGATTACTGGTTTATTACCTCGTTTCTTTAAACTGGCACAGTTAACTGTCTTTGTGTAATCAAGTGATGGCATATATAAGGCCTACATAAGCACAAATGTAAGCACAGCCACTGCTGGAGGTAATTAAAAGCAATATATATCTGATAAACAGGCTACAGTATACCTCTGTTCCAACTAGATGGATGATTTACAAACTTTGCCTTACAAAATCTGATAGAATCTAATGTGCTCTTTCAGGGGCAAGGAAAATGCAAAACACAGCAGTATGGGTCCTGTCATCATTAAACTATTTCTTCAAGATTGGTCATTGGGCAACCACAACACGTAATTGATTTTTATTCCCCTTCATTTTGTTATTCTAGCTATGATTTCTCCACAACTAAAACAGTATTGACATATTACTTCTTTCATAATTCTGCCTCATTTTTTTTTTTTTGAGTGAACTGCTTGCACTACAGTTTGCATGACTGCTTTCCCACATGTGGGTTTGTTCGTACTTAATGGCCTTGCTACTTCCAACAAATATTTTAAAATAGAAAAGTACACTTTAAGAATTATTGACCAGTCATTGGCAATGTACACTATCACCTAAATTTAGCTTTACTACCAGAGCTTTATGGAAATGTGGTCATAATTCTCAACAAAATCCTAGGCCATGCAAAATGTCTAGAAGAATCTGAGCCATTTTCATCCTGCTTTTCAACATTAACTTGCCATCAAACTAAGCCAATTTATGTCAAGGGCACTCTTCATAAAACTGCCATTTATGCTGACAGCCATCAAAACAATACTTATTTGGCATATTCCATTGAGCTTCCTAAAACAAAATGTCACCATCAATATTACAGAGCATCAAGGAATTGGTCTTTTCCAAAACCTTCATAAGACAAGAAATAACTAAAGTAGTTGCTTAAAAACTCATTTATTAACAATATACAATGTTTTAACCAGTTTTTCTCTGCAATTAAAAAGGTTGCTGAAGCAAAGTGACCCTAAAACCTCACTAACTACCGCAGATTAATATAATCAGACAAACATCCATTGATACTGCTAAGCGGCTCTGCAATGCAGATCACTAAATTTACAATTAGTGAATGTATGTTTTGTTACTAAACTAAAATGAGTATGTTTTACTAAAGTCAATCTTTAGTAAGTCAAAATGATGGACTGTGTTCTAGGGATAAGCATTATACTTAAAATTTGTATAACATTTCGGAAGTTGTAGATAATAAGCTATTTTAGAAAATCTCAGTTTACATGTAATCTTTATGCATTCAGAAACTGCACCATCAGAATCACATTGGGCACATAAAAGCAGATTGGAGGAAGGTTTTAGAAATATTTTTTAGAATTCTGTTGTGTATATGATGTGCACTTTCTGGGCTCTTGCAGCTACAAAATTCATATTCAATGTTATGATTTTTTTTCAGAAAAAAATATTTTGGGAATGTTAATCTTGTATATTAACCAAGTAACTGTGTGCATATTATAGCACATTTTTTTAAATATGCAGTCCTACCATTTTCTGACAACTAACCTGTGCCAAATTTGGTGCACAGACACAAAGACACGACTAAGTATTTGAGGAATATCCAATAATTTTCCCTTGAGTACATGTATGTAATATGCATTTTCCTTTGATGCCAAATCAATTTAATTCAACAAATGAAGTGTTAAATTGTTAGCCATAAAGAGATGCTGTCAAATGATATTCAAGATGGAGAAAAACCTTAAATATATTATATGCTATTACTCAGTTGTATTAGGCTATGCACACTTTTAAAGTATCACAAACAGCCACACCAATATTAGTTTTACAGACACTTAACACTTATCAACAAAACGATTAAAAAAAAGCATTCATGTTTTTCAAGTAAGGATAAATACTTATTTAAATCCATTCTAGACAGCCATGACAAGCTGACAGGTTTTGACGTTTATTAAAACATTAAAAAAAAATCAACAGAATTGCATAAAATCTTCAAAACCTGCATCATGAACTCAGCACGTTTCCTCATGAAAGATTAAAAAATTCTGCACAATTCTGAACCAAAAGCCCCCGAGACTGTCATCTGGCTCAGAGATAACAGTAGCACAGCTTTCCAAAAGCTGTTTTAAGTCAATGATACATTGCTTCAGAATGCTTAAATTATAGATTTTGGAATTAGTTTATCCAGCACACGTTGCTAATAACGAATAATTATGCTGCTCACCAACATTGTCCACTTAGCAGAATCACAGTAAATGCTAATCAACTACAGAACGTAAGCAACATTTTGATCAATGGCCATTACAAAACAGTGACAATAGTTTCAATCCGTCTTAAACAGCAGTTCAGCATAAATGCTGCGGAGGGAAAAAAAATGTTGACAAATCTTTGCAGCACAGACTTATAGAGCCCTTAGAACTGACTCAACCTTTATCCAGTTATCACACTTTAAAGTATATCTTCCTAGTAAATATTCCAGCACTTTTGTTCTTTACATTAAGTGAATATGCAAAAATATATGCTTCAGTGACTAAAAAACACAAACAAAATGCACAATATTTTACTGCTCTATCATACAGTTTTGATATTGGAAAATCATGTGCTCCCCAGTCTTAGGAATTTACGTCTATAAATCAGTAGACCTGGGTTAATGTAGTTTTAATGATTAGAGGTTTTCAGATTTGTCAATTTAAAAGATTTGGGGGGCATACCAAGTGGCTCAAGCAGTAAGTGTGCTTGCCCAAGCACACGCTGAGCTCGGTCATCGTGGGTTAGCGCCTTGATTACGACACTAGCTGACTAGCTGCACAATTGAGTAAATGCTGAGGGCAGGGTAGAATTAGTCAGCCAAGGCTCTCTGTACTTCACAACAACCACTAACCCAGAAGCCTTCTGGGATCCTGCAAGGTTATAGCGAGGTTGGTAAAGGACAAACCTCTATGTTTTTAAATTCAAATCTCTGGTGCAGGACTGTCCCTACAGTTACGTGTTAAAAGACAAAGGCTCAAAAGGTGAGCACATGAGAGTAGTCTGGCTACACTTCCGTTATCTCCCATGTCTGTCTGTAAGGTTCATACATATGAAGTGAAAAAAACTGCCAATTCCGAATGGGATGGGTACAACAAAATAAATTAGCAATTTAAATAAAAAAATAAACACTAATATTAAGGACTGCATACAAAGCATCAGGTCTGTCCTCAATACACTCTCAAGCTCAATGTTTAAAAACAAAATGTCGTTCTAAGAAACACATTTTATCTGATAATTACTTTGTCTCTATAAACTGACATTAATGGAGTAGGCAAATAAAACGGTAACAACATACATTAAATGTACATATGGATTTAAGGCCCCAGACATGCTTGCTTAAGCTTGTTGGAATACTACTTAAACCAATATGGCCAAAACATATTACGCCCTTATCATAGCAAAGTCAATATTTCCCTCCTTTTGTTAAGCGTTCGATACAGTAAAACTTTCCTTTTAACCAATTATTTCCAGCAATCTCGAGCAATCTTGTTTCTTTATAGTAGTAGACTTTAAAGCAGATGTTTATATCCTACCCATTACGTTTCACAATGTATTTGAATCCTTACATGTTGAAACAAAGATTATTACTCATACAATGACTAAAAATGCAAATTAGTTATATCATCTGCAGGTACACAATAACTTGTCTGACTCCTAAATGAGTTTAATTGGCAAGTGATATAACCTAAAAACAAGCTACTCAGTTTCCTGACAACAGAGTAGCCCGTTGTCCTGTTTTGAGTTTGACAGACTGTGATTCAAGATGTGATATATTTATCTTTAATTCCCAGTAGTGTGAAAATGTGAACCATCCATTGGGTATAGTACATCAGAATTATTAAATTAATTTCTTCAGAAAAACCTTTTCAAGGGAACAAAAGGAGTAGATTTGCATTTGTGCCCACCTTTCCGCTGCTTTGTAAAATCGTTGTCCTTGTTCTCCACACTCTCTCTCTACTGACAATATCTCTGGTCACATCAACCTCTGCATCCACAAAACTTCTCTGTTTCAGCGCAGTGATGTCATCATCCAAGTCAGTCTTAATTGTTGATCTTTTCTTGGCCATAATCTTAGCTTTGATGGCAGCAATTTTTTCAACAGACATGGCTTCTGACAAAGACCTGCAACAAAATCAAAGGTACACTTCATTCAAAATGTGTGGTGTCCTAGATATGTCATTGTACAGATATGTGCTTAGGGTTCAAACTTATTTTTTAAAGCAGCGCAAAGAAAAAAGTCCAGATTATCTGTCACAAAACACAAAATAGTTTAGATCACAATACATCTGAAACATTTTGATTACTGGAAAAAAAGCACTTGTATAAACACTTTAACAATAAAAAAACCAAATATGCCACCATGTGGTCAAAGTTGAAAATGCAACCTCTTTCCCACCAAAGGTGCTTCATGAACTTTTGAGAATCACTACAATCATTAGAAAAATAATTTCTATATTGTTATTCGTCGTACATGAACTAAATGAATGTTCACCCTCTTTTCATCAATTACCACCAACAGACAATTTTACACATTTTGCAACGAAAGGACATGAAAGAGTAAAAATGCTCACATTCATCACAGAGGTGTGTACTCTATAGGTATATTAAACTTAATTAGAGAGGGAGTAATTGCATAAATCCAGAGTTACTTGTAGTGAGAAATGCTCATCTAAATCTTTCCAATTTGGAATATCACTAATCAAGAGATTCTGCCATTTTTCATCTGTTGTAAACTTAATATAGTCAAGCAGACGTATGAAGGACTCCAACGAATCTGCGGTCAACCATTTCAAGGTGTTGCCCTATTGCTAACTCAGCATCTACTTTAGTTTGATTTTACTTGATTCTTCTAATATAAAACATTAGGTAGGTGACTTAGTGGACAGAGGTTGGGAAAAAAAATGGTCAGTTTAACACTTATACATTAGGTGTTGTACATATATCAGTTTAAATCTCTGATACATATACCAGTTATCTAGGAGCCTCTCCAATAAGGCCTAAACTACATAAAATAGACTAGACTAGCACAAAAAGGGAAACAACGTGAAGCTGAGCCAGGGCACTATGGCATCCATTTACCCTTTAAATGTGAAGAATATGAAGTGAAAGGATGTGCAGCTTATTAAATTACGGCACATCACAGGAAGCTGACAGCACATACCTGATCTGATCCGTTTGTACAATGCCTTCTTTGTGGCCTTCCAGTCGAGCTGCCAGTCGCTCCTTGTCAAGACGTACACGTTCCTCATCCTAATGCACAACATGATACATTAATATACATTCACAAAATATACAATATACAAAAACTGGGAAATACTTCCATATTCATTTATGAGCATTCTTCCTCACTAGATCTAGCAATGCGCTGCAAGGTACAAATTTCTTGAAGTGTTCTTTACCTCTACTCTAGGCTTTTTGGCTTCCGATGACGCGTCATCTGCTGCTCTCTTAACTGAAAGAAAACAAGAGGAAAAGAAGTCACTAGAAAGTCTCTGATGGACAATGCACACAAATTGTTACTACATTAAACAATAGCAAACTAAGATATGCCAGCTCTGTTAACTGACATCTTTAAATTGGCCCCCATGTGCTTGCAGGAGTGCATGACTTGTCATGGACTGTTGTCCCATTCAGTGGGCAGGACTGCAATTCACCCTGTGCTTCTGGGGAAGGCAGTGGGTTGTCGTGACTCTTGAAATAGAAAAATACCAAGTTCGTCCTTGAAAGAATTGCACTGTCAACAATTTAGTTTTATGCACTCAGTGGCCACATTATTAGATACACTTGCTTGTTAACACTAATAGCTAAACAGTGAATCATGTGGCTGCAACTCAATATAAAAGCATGTAGACATGGTCAATTTTAGTCACATTTAGTTGACGACAACGTGATCTAAGCGACTTTGATCGTGGTATGATTGTTGGTGCCAGATGTGGTGGTTCCAGCATCTCAGAAACAGCTGACCTTCACACACTACAGTCACTAGAGTTTACAGAGAATAAACAAAAAACATCCAGTGAGTGGCAGTTCTATGGGCGAGAGGTCAGAGGAGAATGGCCAGACTTGTTCAAGCTGACAGAAAGGCCACAAATACTCTTTACAACAGTGATGTGCAGAAAGGCATCTATGAACGCATAACACGTCGAACCTTGAGGCAGATGGGCTAAAGCAGCCACATGATTCACAAGACCATGCCAGGTTCCACTCCTGTCAGCTAAGAACAGGAAGATGAGGCTAAAGTGGGCGCATGATCACCAAAACTGAACGACTGAAGACTGGAAAAACGTATCTGGGTCTGACGAATCTTAATTTCTGCTGCGACATGCAAATGCTAGGGTTGGAATTTGGCATAAACCGCGTTGCCTGGTGTCAACAGTACAGGCTGGTGGTGGTGGTGTAAATGTTGTGGAGAATGTTTTCATGGCACACATTAGGCCCCTTAATACCAACTGAGCATCACTTGAATGCCACAGCGTACCTAAGCATTGCTGCCAACCATGTGCATCCCTTTATGGCCACAGTCTACCCGTTTTCAAATTGATTCTTCAAATGCACCATGTCACAAAGCACGCATCATCTCAAGCTGGTTCCACGAACATGACAGCGACTTCAGTTTACTCCATTGGCCTGCACAGTCCCCAGATCTCAATCCAATAGAGCACCTTTGTGATGAGGTGGAACAGGAGGTTCGCAGCATGGATGCGTGGCCGAAAAATCAGCAAGAACTGGGTGACGCTAGCGAGTCAGCATGGACCAAAATCCCTAAGGAATGTTTCCAGCACCTTATTGAATCCATGCCGGGAAGAATTCAGGCTGTTCTGGAGGCAACAGGGGGTCCTACCCAGTAATACAAAAGTAGACCTAATAAAAGTGGCCACTGAGTGTACAGTTATACCCCTTTGTTCTGATGACAAATACATTAATCTAAAAAGAAGAATCAATGTTTTTTTGGCATTTCACCCATCTGATCTGGAACTGACAAATGTGCAAATAAGACTCATGATCCACCTGGAAGAGAAGGAAACATGGACATGCTCCTCAAGCACACCCACCTGTAGAATCATGACCAACCCCTGGATTCCAATCTACAAGTTGCACTCCAGGGGATAAGAACATTTTAAAAATATGAGACTAAATTATGCATTTATGTTCTATTCCAATCAGAATTAGAAAGGGACGTGTTTACTGGAGTGCAAACAAGATACGATATTTTTAAGAGGTGATTTAAATACATACTGAAGCTTCATTGTGCCTCAATTGTTAGTAGACCCCCATGGAAAAACACTGAAATTGTGACATTAGGTGAATAATATACTAAAACAGAACACAGAGTTATGATGAATTTGGTGAAGCTGAAATCACAAAAAATCCTTTGCGAAATGTCAATTTGAAGAATGTGTTGACAGATCTAACTTTTAAATCTTAATTCAGTACTGCTTGAACGGAGTCTATGTTTTGGGTGATGCTTTTATCTAAAACACCTCATCTGTACTCATTTATACAGCCTGGAATACCTTTTCTCAAGGGTATAATAGTGAGGCCCGTCTGGAATTTAAAGCTACAATCTTCCAGTTAAGAGTCCAGAGCTCTCACCACTACTCTAACACTGCCATGAAAATCGCAATGCTTGGTAAAATGGGACATTAAGTTGGCACATTTCTATCAGTATGTGGGGATAGAATTACTTGCCATAAAGGAAAATGACAGACACTAATGGGCTAATTGCCAATACCTGTCACTAGTATTTTTGTTATTTATATTTCTGCATTGTGTCAAAATAAATTGTTACATACCTTGAGTAGGCCTTTGCAAACCAATCTCAATTGGTGCACTTCTGTCAATACTTGCAGAAGTTGCTGGGGTAGGGAAAAAAAAGGAAAAGTTAATTTGGTTTCTTTTAAAACTTTCTTTCTCTAGAGGTGCACTTAGTTCAATATTTTTTTTTAAAGGTCTTCAGGCAAATGACAAATTTGCTACATAATTCAAAAACATTAAAGAAAGAGTACAATTTATATTTCTTATACTTACAACTTTCTCCATTTAAATAAGCAAGCAAATCTTTTCTGTCAGGTCTTCTGACCACAGGAATATTCTCTGTCTAGAAAAGAAAACCTTAGTAGTAATGCTGTATCTTTATCAAATGAATACAGGAAGAATTACTATTAACAACATATGACAAAAAAAACAGTACTGAGTTGTTGTACAATGTTCAAATGACAATTTAATCAAGGTATATGATGCATTCTTCTGTCCCATGGAAGCAGGAGAAAACATTCATTAATATCTCACACACACAGGCTATAGATAAAATACTAGTATCACTTTAAAGCTCATTGTACTGCATGCCCCATTATACTGTATCAGAGGTTTGCTTAAGAGTGGAAAAAAAATAATGTTTAACAGTGTAATTGTAATTTAAACATTCATTTTGCTTAAAAAACAAGAAAAGCAAGCATTTTGCAGACTTGTTTACGATTACTAACATTACAGATCATTAAATATTGATGAATTTCTTCATGTTTTCAACTTGTGTGCTTTTACTGGGATACCAATCACTCAAAGTGAAATTCTTGTAATGTACAAAGGAACATGATTCCAATATTAACACTTGACAAAATAGCTGGACTATGCAAAAAATGAGAAAAATTCAAATAGAAACAAGCTTTCAGTAGCCTTACAATTGTAAGATCGAGAGAAAGCTTTACTTTTGGAAAAACAATTTATTTCAGTGAAGGAAACTGAAGGAGGATGAGATTCAGTGAGGCTAAAATACTCCTTTGCACTGAAAAGTTACATGCATTATGTCCCAGCTGCCAATGAAGAAATATTAAAATTGTGTGGAGTCTAGCTTTGTCTGGCTGTTGGCGCAGAAAGTTCAAATATCAAGGTCTTTTCCACAACATAATGATGGAAATTAGTGTACAGGTTGTTTTGCTAGTGGTTTTCCATATCTTCTGAAGTTTCAGTAAAGTTCAATGATCTAGATGCATGGATTTCAGGACGGGATTAAAAAAAATGTATTTAGAATGTTCTACTTCTTTTCTTTAAAATGTCAACACACCTGCATCACATAACTTATCACAGGTTTTTAAAGCCTACATCTGTCATATTCCATGCTCATATATTAGTGTCTGTAGAACATTATACTGCAAACTATCTGCATAAAATTAGTTTAATATTAATTAAAGTATTTAATCTAATGGAGAATGCAAAGAGCTTTACAACTATGTGAAATCTATGTCCTTAGCATGTGTACATCAAAGGCTGAAACGCTTTCAAAAAAGATTTTCTTTATCTAAAGAGCCAAGACACGTATGCATTTTTTTCCCCATGAATCCTTTTTTCCCATAAGTCATTTGAATACATTAAAACACCTAAGGAAACTTTCAGATGGCAATGCAAAAATCACATCAATGGCAGATGAAATGATGCACATCGTAATTTCTCCTTTTCGTTTAGTTTTATGACTATCATTTTGATTCTTCTTTTATTCTACACTGAGCAAGCCATGGGTTTTAATCACAAATCTTAACTGCACAAATACCTTTGTCAAATTTGAAAGTCGTAAACTTAGCAAAAAGTAAAAAATACTAAATTAACATTCTCAGGAAACCTGGAATATATGTTTATATTAACAATATGCAAATTAAAAAAATTACATCTAACTTAAACGACCTGTCAATTCAATAATATTTTGCTCATTTCTGGATTCAAAGATTTCAAAAATATCTCAGAATAACTGCATAGCATAAAAAAACTGGAAAAAACTTACTGCAGCTCGGCGCACATAAGACGAGTGAGGAAGATGTACATTGTTCAACAAGAACAAGATGGAATCCAAAGTGTAGTATTCTTTGGGCTGACCCTCCTTCCCCGTTCTAAAATAAAAACAAATCATCATATATGCATTTAATTCCATATTTAAATACATTACATTAAATTAAATTATGCACCTATATACATTACATAAGGTAGTGCTCTTGAACATACAAGTTGATGCAAAAAACAGTTGATCATTTTTAAGAGCTTAGTAAGACTCCAACATGTTAATAAATGCTTCTAAAAATTCATTAATCATAAATAACTGTTGCGCATTCGTTAAATAATTTTATAATTAAATACCACCTCCCACCACCCAAGCCTCCCATCAAACTGTACAGTATGAGGAATGAACGCAAAACCATTCCCTAAAGAAAATTTGGTTTTGCTTAGTTTTTCTGTACACTCAATGAAAAGTAAAACCAGCTTTTTAAAACAATTCTGAACAAACAATCAAAGCTCAGATTCATTGTCAAAGCCTGAAAAGAACAGAAAATTGGTTTCAGAAATATAAAATAAATAAAAACTACAGTTTAACTATTTTTTTAAACCATCCTGGCTCCTAAGTATGACATGCCTCCGAACCCTTGCAAGGAAAAGCACAAAACCTTCAAATTATTCAGTTCCTTCAATAACCTTCAATTAGGGATGTCACGGTGTGAGATTTTGATGGTACGATTATATTCTCAGGAAATATCACGGTCTCACGATTTTTTTTTTCAGGTAATTTATTATGAAACACTATGGAGGGAAAAAGACACCAAGTATGGCATAATTAAACATGTTTTTTTCAAAACGTTTTTGGTCCTGCAAATAAAACATGTAATCCTCCTTTAGAATTAAAAACATAAATATGATAGGGGAAAGCAGGCAGATTTAAGAATTCACCATAGCTGCCTTTAGAAACCAAAGTAATACAGTACCAACCAATTAAATATTTAAAATATATAAAAATACATAGAAATAATTTATAGTGGGCAAATGGAAATATTCAGAGAGGTCAGAGTCTCAGCCGTTCCCTCTCCTCACTTAGAACTTCGTCACCTGTTGTCAGTAAAAAGTGCATTTACTTTAACGCCAAGGCTAGTGGATGGACTGTCGGCAAGTGCTAATTGTAGGAAAAATAAGTGATCTATCATAAGTGATAGAGGTATCCCCACAAAACCAACTTAAATGAAAACAAAAGTAATGTTATACATACACGGAGGACTGCACCGCTGTGAACTGCTCCAGCCAGGGCGAGCCCTCACTTAAGCTAACGAATGTTACGTTCGCTAGTTTATTTTTTTACCTTGACTTTTGTATAGAGGGATGGATGATCACAGAGATGCTTAAGCAGATTAGACGTTTGAACCTTTGGCAGCCACTTTTTTTTGGCACGTTTTGCAAAATTGATTATCCGTCATCTTCTACTACCCCCTGATCTGATCATTTTTTAGATATCCAAAATATCTGCTCCCACACTGCCGATTTCAGGCGCTTTTGTGGTGGATATAAAGCCGAGATGTCATATCTCTCTGTCATTTTCACACGTCTGCTCTCTGTAGGGTAACTAAGGTGTTGCTGGACGAGCCAGCTGAGCCAAGCCAGGCACACCCGTACACACACGTGACGCACAGGCGAGAGGAATTTTTCAGGTCAACCTGGAACGCAAGGCTTCGAAAACGGAATCTTCCCCGTAACTTCTAAAATTCTCTTTAATCCTGGTTAATTGTGAAACTGGTTAATTTCAACATCCCTACCTTCAACTTAACTCCAAACGCTGAATTAGAAAGTAAGGGATGCTTTTGTTTTTTGAAGGGAGAATGTATTCACCAAATCATGTTTAAAGAAAAGTGTGACTGTTCCAGAAAAGCCCTCCAATCATCTTATCCGGAAAGTTTCCAAATCACAAATTCTACAGTAGACAAGGATCTGGCATTACCTACATGCTAGGACACTACAGAACAAATACCATGTAAGGTAGCCACACAAAAAATCAGATTATTCTCATATCAAAAAATACCATAATACTCTCTTACACAGCAGGGTCAAGGACAGTTGCATGTTTGCGCATTATATTGGCAGACACACAGACTTTGCTAAATGTGCTAAATTTCTACCCTTTGTGTGATACATGGGGCAAGAACTGAAGGATTGCAAAATGTACAAGGAAGGAAACAGTCATTTGAGTATCTCAATTATTACATATAACCAACATGACTTCAATAGTATGGGATAGGTATGCTGGATGGTGCAGGAAAGGTCATCAGAGATGTTCAGCATACACAACGGATTAACAGCAGAAGTGAAGGCAGTTGAGTTCCACAATTCCAGTGACCTATTAATTGCTTTTTGAATTGCAAAGCACTTACAGGCAAATGTGTCCAAAAATGCATGATGTAGGCTATTAATGACTGCAAACAACTTGGTTGTGTTTGTATAAATAAATTGGTGCTGTGTACCAGTGTCTGCAACCGAACTAAAGTTAGATGACTGTGCTGAGGAAAACTGCTCACCAGACTCTTAGAACCTCGATGCCTTTCTAGAGAGCAATGGAGTCCTCTGGTGGAATACTTGGAGGACAGAAAAACTGGCTTGCTTAGCAAACCATCAGCCATGTGTAAGGGAAAAAAACATCTATTTTAACTTAAAAGAAAATCATTCCCTTTAAAAATGAATTCAAAAATGGACTCCTCTTTTTTTGCATAAAACTGGAGGAAATCAATATTAAAGAAATAAGCTGCATTCACTTCTCCTTTTCCCAATGTTAAGGAAAAGCAGTGAAAGTGGGTTTGCAATCTGCTTAACAGCTGAGCACAAGAAACATACCTATTAACAAAGAGTGGTAGAAGAGCTAATTGAGCTGTCTGTAGACACGACACTTTAGCTGGAGTTACATTAAACCTTAATGCACTTAGTCCATTCTTGTTCAGAACACCCACCTCAGACTTCAGAGGCCCCAAAGAGCTTGTTCTCTTTTCCACAACCTACTTGATCAAATTAGCCTGTTCAACTTTGGCTATGATGTACAAATATTGTGCTGAAATGCAACCTTTCTGTGGTAGGAGTGCCAGCTCATCCATGGGGGGGGAATCCTTTCACACTGGTTAGCAAGGTTAAAACAGGTACTGTATTTCTGATGTTTGTTATTTAAGCACATCAGAGAAACAGTCAATTCTAGCAGGTCACTAACAATTGAAAAGGTAACTTTTAAAAAGCATAAGTGTTCCACAGCAAATGTGACTGTGCTTTAAATGCACTACTTTATTAAATTTTTATGTTTTCAAAAAGCTAACTAAATAGGTCAAAATGTGATGAGTATGGTTAAACGTTATTGCACTTCTTGTACTCATGATACTGTAAAACACTTCCACGTTTGAAGTGGTTATTCGTACAGAATTTAATACTACACAAGGTTTTTGTACGGGACGGTAAATTAAAAGGTCATGATTAAATTAAAGGGCTTTGTTTTTAGTAGATCAGACAAGATTCCATCCATTAAGCGTGGGACACAACTCTGGCTTGATAGCTGGGTCAAGCGTGTGCAAAATGTGAGAAAGTAGTTAAAAACAAAATTTAGCATCGCATCCGATATAAGCCATTCTCCAACACCTACAAACTGCAGGACACTTGTAGTGCGACAGGCTTTTCAAGATCTGAAGCTATTGCTTACATACTAATACTAACGAAGTCATTAACGATACAGCAATTAATGCAAAGCTTGCAAAATAGATCTCCACGACAGTCGTATAAAACATACAACCCTAACAACTTTGTTTGTGTGGCGTCACTTTCAGCAAGTTAAAAAATCCACTTATTTCTTATTAATCATTTGAACCTGGCTCTGACGTAGAGCTATGCCTACCTCTACTGTCATACTTTACTTTCAAAAAGTAAAACCATACCGCTTATTTTACCATTATTCCCAAAGATAAAAAAAAAAACATTAACAGATTTCCTCTTCAAAATCCACTTGGCCTCTACAGCGAACGATTTGGTTAGAATCCCAACGTGCTATTCTTTGGGCTTTAATGCATGTCAACAACTCCTGCGACCAACACCAGGAAAAGTTTTTTTTTTAGATGCATTTGTGGATTTTTCAAAAGCAATCACTCACCCCCAAATAACATAGTTGGTTTTAACATTTTTTGGCCAGGAGAACTCTCCGAAAATAACTTCGTCTCCCTTGGCGACGATTTCTTTCTTCTGGATGTTGTATTGACGCAGAACACTCAACACGTCCGCCATCTTCACTCCCTCTTTACAGAGTGAAATTCTAAGGCCCCCACGAGAAGCACAAATTGTCTGTAGTAGTACTTTTTCCACGGCTGGTTTGGCCGTGTTGAGCGCCTGATCACAAAAAACATCAAATATAGTATAATACCGGACAATAAGTCCAATTAACCATAGAATTGTACTATTTTTATAAAGACACTCCAATGTAACAGTCTTCGTTTTCTATAGATAAAATAAAGGGCTTTATTTGACTCCCAAATTCTTGAAGGGCAAAGTCTGGGTAGCAGAGCAATGTATTACACATGTATTACATGTATTATACCAGAGTTTGAACTGAAAGAGATATTTCAAATCTTCCGCGAGCAAAACACGATTTCATATGTGATGTATTTAAAAAAATGGAATAGTAATTCGAGTATAAAAACATGCTATTTTTTCCGAAACAAATTATTTTCACTAAAACAGAGAGAAAAATACTTAAGCGAGACTGTGAAAATACCAATGAAGACGTGAAATAAAATGAATAAGTACTTGATTACGTTGATCGATTTTTATTAAATGCAATTAGTCGCAGGCACTTCTTGGGTCAGCTCAACTAATGTTTGGGATCCGCTCGGCACAAATTTCCCATGTGCTTCCGGTAACCTGTGTTTGACAGTGACAGAGGTGATGAAACGATAGACGTGAGGTACACAAGTTCTCGATGCATTGGTTTTCGGATTTATTTTAATTTGACTAAAATATTGTAGTAGCTGTAGGAGCAGTCTTGGGATGTTCTTCTGACGTCCCCTACATATTTTAATGACACGAAAATATAGAAATTTTATTACTGTAAGAATACGACTGACGATTGCAAACTAAAACTGTAATGCTACTTTAAAATAAGTAAAAGGGACTTATGCGCCATGTTTTAAATGTATCTTCTATTTATTTACCATGAAATGCACTCGTGAGATGCGCTCAAAGCGCTAAACACCAGTGTTTTCATTATCCCATAGGTCTTTCTGGTTAAAAATGAAATATCCTGTTACCTTTCACCTTGCAAATCACCGTGATGACAACCAGAAGTAGACACAAGAATGACTATATCTGATTCTCTTGTTACATTGTGTGGTAAATTCTAGTATTTGTTTTTATGATTTTACATGTGGCTTTCGTCAACGTTTTTTTTTCTAAATGCAAATGTATTTACTGTGTTATTATATACTGACTTAATTGTAGGATGGGGAACTCAATACCTACTTCATCGGGTGTATTATCCAGTGAGGCATGTACAAAATTCATCATGGTGAGTATACATGAATAACAAATAGTCGTAACAATGAACAGTTTCTGTAGAGGTGATGCGTATAAGCTTTCACAAGGTGAAGGGAATTTAAGGGAATCTTGTTTGATACACAGTTAAATTAAGATCATCCATCTTTAGTGTTATTTACCGATTTATTTAGGTTTTTTTAATTATATATCTTGAGAATTTATTGTGCATTCATTTATCTTGTGTATTTTCTCATCTAAGGCATAGGCTGTAAATATTTCTGTATTTTTGTACTTTTTTGTTTCTTTTTTACAGCTATGGAGCTGTAGAAAACCTGCATTCTTATTATATAGTTGATTTACTGTATACAATAGCATCCATGTGCCCGGAAAATGGGTGTTAATGTTAACAAGCAGCATTTTTGTTTAAATAAATGACCATCATTGCAAACAGACTGTGCTTGTCTTTCCATTTACAGCTTGGTTAAAAAAAAGATACAGAGGATAAATGGATTATTTGTTCATGATATTTTGCAGGATGTGGTATCTCACAACTGTATTGTTATATTCTCCAAGACTACATGCCCTTACTGCAAAATGGCCAAGAATGTGTTTAATGACATAGGTGCTGCATATAAAGTGATTGAATTAGATCAGCATGAAGATGGAAAGCAGCTCCAGGATGTTTTAGCTGCTATGACTGGTGAAAGGACGGTAAGAATATTACTCCTATTTTTGCTCCTGTTTTATGTAGTCATAGAAATCACTATAGCTTTTTTTTCATCAGGTAGTGATTATAATTTACCGTAAAATCTTTAAAAGTTCTTCAAAACCCAAGTGTAGAGTATATAATTGTAAAATGCCAACATTTATCAAGAGTTTTGTGTGAAAATTACAAGCTTGAAAGTAAACAAATAATTAATGTTGCCCCTAGGTTCCAAGAGTCTTTGTTAATGGGAATTGCATTGGAGGTGGTTCAGCAACGAAAGAACTCCATCAGAAGGGGAGGCTCGTCCCTCTGATTGAGCAGTGTGCTCCATGCTGCACGGGGAAAGCAGAAAGCGCTGGCAGAGGTCTACCTGAATCCCACAAATTATAATTATCTTTTACTTCAACTTCTGATGGAATGGAAACTTTGAAAACTTGGGTCCACGGGACTGTGTTTCTGTTATTTGCACATTTACAATTTGTGTGTGTCTTTTTAAGTGAATATACAGGGGTTCATATCATCTTGTTATATACAAAGTCAAGTGTATATCTGTTACATTGAAAAACGTCAGACCTGTCCATATCTGGTTTTTCAGTCCACATTGGCATAGAGCAGTATGTTACACTGCTGAGAAAAATTATATTTAAAAAGTAAATTCATTACAGTTTTAGCGTACTTGTTTAAGTGATTACATTTTTAAATTAAGATCTTGTGGAAAAATACATTTAAAAGCATGTATAGTTTACGTGTGTATAGATTAAATGTAAAGTACGGTATTACTTCTTTAAAGCTGTTTCTCCCAAATTCTTACTAATTTAAGTAATCCCTGTAAATTGGTCACTATGATGTATTACTTTTTTAAAAAAGTAACGTCTAGTAATCAAGATAATAATAAGTAAGGAAAATTAAGGAATTATTATGTTTATAAAATTATAAGCAATTAATGCAATGAATCTCCCTGCCTGTCTTTTCAACTTCTTCTTCATATTTGACCTTGGTATCAGTTTTATCTTGTTATCCAACTCAGCTTTCGTAAAAATGTGAATATGTTAATAGACGCTATCATTACCATTGGTGAGTCATGCCTTTTTTTTCCCCTATATTGTACATCTGTGAACATCTAAAATGCCTGGCAGTAGTTTCCATCCACTTCAAATAATGTCCCATTTTGTCAGCAAAAACTGCCAAGGAAAAATTAAAAAACTAAAAATTTATTTTTTTAAACTATTCACACCTGTGAGTGAGTACTTGTCAGAAGCTTATTTAGCAGCAATTATAATTGCAATTAAGTCTGGAGAAGTCGACCACTGCCCACCAGCATGGTGAATTCTGTTCTATTCTTGTTTGCAAACTTGTTCAAGTTCTGTCAAGTTTAGTTGGGCATTTTTAATGTACAGCAATGTTCTTGCCACAGAAAGTCTGCTGGATTCAAGTCAGGGCTTTGACAGCATTATTAAAGGATTCATTTTCTTTTTGTCAAGCGGCTGTGGTGTTGCTTTGCTCTTATGCTTTTCAAAGGTAAATTTTCATCTCATTTTTATGTCTTTAGCGGACTGACCCAGTATATGTTTGTTTGTATTTCCAACGTTTTCCAGAAAGAACCAGACAGTACCATCAAAAATCATAATTAGAACACTAAAGATAATACGAGAAAACATATGGCTGTGAAATTGCCTCACATCCCACTCAGAAAGAGAAGCTTCACATTCCTATTCTATAGACAAGTCATGATTTTTTTTTGTTTCAGAAAAGAAATCCATATAGATGATTATGAGACAAAATATAAGCTGGAATTTAATCATGGTATTTATCCATGTTAAAGAGGTTTATACAGAGCTGGGTACATTGCAGTTTAATTCATACTAACAGTTAATGCTTTTTAACAAAGGTTTATGTTTCCCAAAAATGTATTTCAAACCTTATTTGCATTACAACAAAAATAAACCATGAATCACTAATGCCTTCAGTTTTCTCCTATTGTGTTTCTTTACCTACAACTATTTCAATATGTCTCCATATATTACTATTGTAAAATTAACTTGAAACATGAAAACACTCGATATGTTAAATATGATCATATTTTATTACACACAAAAATGTCTCCATACAATTTAAATATTGTAAATATTTGAAAGTTACCTCGTCACCTAAAAAGGAATGTTATGCAAAAGGATGTATCAACACTCATGCAAGCAATCCACTCACAAGACTTAATGTGTGTCTAACACATTTATATTTCTGGAAAAAGTGCTTATAGTTATTAGATCTGCTATCTACAGGATACTATCTCTTCAGTATGGAATATTGTTCTGAAGAGTGAAATATTAAACATACCACTTCAAAACAAGATCTAATTTTAAATATAAATGTGCTGATGAACTGTTTAAGAGCTCTTTCAACAGCATTGCTTTAGACTCCAATCTGAATTTGAATAGCTCGGTTTTGGATCCAAAACAATAAATGGTAACATGCCCCAGATTATAATTCTGATCCAACTGTCAATTCCAAATTCCAGACCTTAAATTTTGATGTAATCCAGAACTAAATATTTGGATGAATCAAATACAGTTTTAAATATTTTATGTTTTTTCTACATAATCAAAATAAGAAACTTTCACTCAAAATTGCTTCAGTTTCAGGAAACAAAATTGTGGAAGGGCCCTTAATTCACAGTTGAATGGTCAGACATTTCAGAACAAGGTCAGATTTCAAATTACAGTATTACTTTATGTTTTAAAAACAGGACTATTTATTCCAAACTCTGGTATTAGTGTACAATAAAAAAAATGAATGTTACTTAGTGCTATAAAAGTGTAATATGGTACATTCAACAAATGTGTTACATATAAAAATTGAAAAAAAAAAACTAAAGAATAAGGTCCTTTGTATATTAATTTTACTACATTTCTATTTTGTGCCTTTATTTTATAGTCCTCTATAGTATCACTTCCTAGCAGCCTCAAACTTAGCAGACAGTAACAGGGGGTTGCATTATCCTTTATGAACATTAATGAAACAAGTTTAGTACGCAAGTAAAAGAGGATTGATAATTCATAATAAATACTACTTTGTTGTATTATTAGGAATGCAATATTTTACGTAGAATTAAAAGTTTTGAAAATCTACGTATTCTTGTGATCTCCATAATCTTGATTTTTCTTTTAATAGCACAATGAATACACCTAATAAGCTACATCAAACATTTTCTACAGAAAATATATAGTTTGTATTTCTGGAGAACCATAAGTCTTTATGACATGAACAGTACTACAAAAAACAACAAGAAGACAAACTATAAAAAGCAACCTCTGTTATTTTTTTTAATTTCTACAAACCCACTAAAGTCATCAACCACATATGTGCTTCTCAAACTATGAAATGTTTTGTTTCACAATTTCTACTATATCTGGCATACCAGCAAAGCACAATGTGTACTAGTGTTAGTTGTCAGACGGCATACTTGGGTACTTTTAACTAAATATACTTTTTTTGTTGTTGAACTATTTCATGATTTGACATGATTTGTTATTTCATGATTTAACAACCTATTGCTACTTGACAATAACTGTACCAAAGTACCATATGATATTCTGCTGGTAATGAAAAAAAAAAATATGAAAAAAGCTTACAGAGAGACACTTAACCGTATGCTATATTGTGTACATAATGTTGGAGAAGGGCATCTTCACAAGAGAATGTGATTATAATAAGATAAACGTATAAGTTTAGTTTTTAACACTGTTGTAGATTCCATTTTAGATTTTTTTCCAGCCTGCTGGACAATTAACAAATGTCCACACAACTCTAAAGTAACCCTTGCATAACTGTTACACAGTCCAGGCAAAACAGATTCACAATTAATTTATTAGGTCTGTGTGGATATTTTTGTGTTATTTTAAAAATTAAATTTTTCTTATGGGCATGTCAGTTTTCTTAACAGTAATTTAAAAAAGGCCTTTATGCTTTTCTGTTACAGTTTTTCATCTACGTGAATTGCTTTATCCTTCTGTATTTCACCTGTATTTCATTCTTTCAGATCAGGTCCAAAACAAAATTTCGGATGACTTCTAAAGCTCCAGAGTCAAAGCCACAGATATCCAGCATGCCTCTGTCATCAGGGTCTGCAACAGTAAAGCCATTTGATGTCATCCCACAGACAATTAATTTGGAAAAGACACCCATTTTCTGAAATGATAAAGAAAAACAGAGTTGCACATTAACACAAACAAATGATGTACTTGTCAAATTCTAACTTGTACCAAAGCAGTTCAGTTTTACAGAGCAAGATTGCATACGGGCAATATATGTATATGTTTGTGTTCACTCCGTTTTCAAAATGCTATTCTGTTGCAAATCTATTATATCCAGCAATAACTAACAGTTATTGGAGCTCATAACTTTCTTAGAAAATTTAAAATTACATAAATTACATAATTATATATGTGTCACATACAATTATATCTGAACTGCAATTTTAACCCACTCCCTTCAAAATGCCCCTATTCTATCAACAATAACAAACCTTCTGTTATTTATTAACTTACTTAAACAGTAACATTTCTAAAAGCCACACAAAGTACAGTATACCATGTGGGGTTTTGGGGTAGAAAGATTTAGAAAGATTTAAAAGAGAAAGAAGTAATGCTCTAAAATATTTCCTACTTATACTCTGGCGAAGAAGTAATGAAAGTGTACTAAATGAATACCTAATGTCTAGGCTGTAAAAACATGTTATGAAAATGCAATGCAAAAAAGCTTTAAAAAATGTCTATAAAAGCGCAGTTACTATTGGCAATTCAGAGTAATTCATTTCCTTATACTTTATCAGCCACGTACATTTCGATGCTTCCTTAGTGCCTCTGCTGGATGAATGTCCCCAAACCAGGTCTCGTTATCAGTGAAAATGATAAAGACATCAGCTGCAGTATTGGTCTCCATGGCCCAAAGAATTGGAAGAGAGCAATCAGTGCTCCCCATAGGAATCTAAATGAAATAGACAAACTTCTATCTTTTAGAAGAATATTTTTACGCAATGGCCTGCAGATTTCTTCATTCAGTTAACTAAATGCATAATGTATAGTTTTTAAAAAAAGCATGGAATTAGCTCAAGTTGTAATCAAAACAGACACCCCACACTTGCCATTCTTCATAGAACATACAAATGCACTGTTTTAAAGACATTATCTAATGGTGTACCATCAATAAAAGGTAAAAATGCTTTACCTTTTTTTAGTATTAGAGATATGTCATGCCTTGCAGGTAAAATTCAAAAGACGTGTGGTTACACAGTCATTACAACCTCATATTTACTAAATGTTTTCTCTTTTCAGTTTGCTGTGCTGTGCTGAAAACTCTTGTTTAAGGTAAAAATACAGGCCAAATTTTTCTTCTAAATAAGTGCAGAATGTCCAGGATTCCTTTTCATTTTGTTCACGGTGTCTCTTGGAGCATAATCCTAGCTTTTGTTTTATTTACCCAGGTAGTTTACAAAGTAGTTGTCAGTCAGCACCGGCACTTAACTGACTTGCTTTTTTTTTTTGCTACAGTTCATCATTTGGTTTTCTTTTTTTGTGTATTAAAAGAAGTGTACTGAGACATACAAAGAGGTATGTCTGTATTAGAGTAATATCATGTAGTGATGATGTAGTAATTTCTAGGTGTTTAGATTTATTGTTGATTAATAATATTTCAATTAAAAAGAGAAAAAAATACAACTGTCATTTTAAGTCAGCAGCCATATCACCCTGCAACTCACAACTGGCAACCCACTGAAGCTAAGCAGGTGTGAGCCTGGTCAGTACCTCCTGGGACAAACTAAGGTTATTGCTGGAAGAGGTGTTAGTGGGGCCAGCAGGGGGCGCTCAACCTGCGGTCCATGTGGGTCCCAATGCCCCAGTATAGTGACGGGGACACTATACTGTAAACAGGCTCTGTCTTTCGGATGAGACATAAAACCGAGGTCCTGACTCTCTGTGGTCATTAAAAATCCCAGGGCGTTTCTCGAAAAGAGTAGGGGTGTAACCCCGGCGTCCTGGCCAAATTTCCCATTGGCCCTTACCAATCATGGCCTCCTAATAATCCCCCTCTATGAATTGACTGAATTGACTACATTACTCTGCTCTCCTCCCCACTGATAGCTGATGTGTGGTGAGCGTTCTGGCGCTCTATGGCTGCTGTCGCATCATCCAGGTGGATGCTGCACATTGGTGGTGGTGCAGGGGAGTCCCCATTACCTGAAAAGTGCTTTGAGTGGAGTGTCCATAAGTGTAAGCAATTATAATAATTATTATTATTATTAATTAATCTAGGAAGGCATTACTCAGAATAGAATCTGGAGGTAAACCCACTTATTTTATGGCCCAAAATCAACCACCCCCCCTGTTTTGATTTTTTTTTATAAAAGGAAACAGATTTCTAACATACATTACCTTTTTGAATTCTTCCATTACTTGTGCAAGGGTCATTTCTGCAATGTTTGGACAAGGAACCATGGATTTGTCAGAAAAAGCCACAATCTGACAGTCAACTTCTGTCTGTGCAACAACCTTTAGCCAGCAGATTTTTCCGTAGAAGAATAAAAATTAATGATATCATCAATACAACTGATGGACACATTGAACTAGCAAAGTACTTAGATTTAACAGAATATCCACTCTGTCGATTCCAGTAGGTTTAGATTAAATTTACAATGGCCCTTAAAACAAACCTGCTCAATTTTAACAAGTTTACCCTGACTGATATATTCTACTCCCCAAATGACTATTTATTTACATAAACCAAAATACATTTGCTATAGGCCAAGCTCAGCTTAACTGAGTATTTAAATGTATCTAGATAACCGGACTATATTCATCAAGCAATTGCTTTTATACTCATGGTTCCCTTATTTGTTTTACAAATTCATATTAACTTACCATACTCATAGCTGCAGCAGCAGTAGCAGCACTGACAGAACTCCCTAAAACAGTACTGCTCATTGAAGCGCTAACATCTACACCCAAAACAAAATGTTTTCCTGTGGCCTCAACATTCTGAAAAAACAAGGAAGGATTCAAACTAGTTTTCAAAATTAAAGAACAAAAAGCATAAACATCAGCCTAGTACTATGAAATAGAAACAAAGTGGTAGTTCTTGGCAACATCAATACAATTAAGTGTGTGTATTAAGGAGAAATCTAGTAATGGAAATAGCTGACATATATTTTAGCTAACTATTATGTTTAGACAGTTATGTTTCAGATACAAATCAAGTAATTAAAACTGTTCCTGTTACTACTATGCTGCAAAGATCTGTATGGATATAGATAATATGATAAATGCTCTGCAGTATGCTTCTTAAGGGCATAATTTCAGGTTTCCACCTTTATAATTTAAGATAAGACTGTTTCTTTTGTTTTTTTATCATTTCAGTCTAAACAGCCACACACATACTGTTTAGTAATAGGTCTAGAGAATTCCCACCTTGAAGCTTTTGTAGAACGCACTGTCTAAGGCCTGAAGGATGTCCTTATTTGGTTCCCATTTTAGTTTTCCTCGATTCCCACAGCCTTTATTATATGTCTCTAAAGCAACTAAGACGTTGAAAGGATGAATTTGAGCCTGGAGAGAAAGCAGGCAGCTTTTTAAAAACATTTTACGTGTATTTTAAAAATGATAATCGAAGGAAATATTAAAACCAACGTAGTCTCTTTCCTATACCTGCTTCAGAACAGATTCATTTTGAAGTCTTTCACAAACCAAAGTTACTTCTGAACTGCCCAACTCCAGAACTTCATCTGCAGTCATCTTTCCTAAATTACGCAGCATGGCAGCAAGAGGCATTTCCTTCAGCAATGTTTGCCACACCTAATAAAAACGCAGTAAACATAATAAACCTTCACAAAATCAGGACAGTTTTCCAGGAAATTGTAGAATTTATGCTCTGGTAAAAAAAAATTAACACTCAGAGAAAATGACACGCAAGGCACACAATCAGGAGAAAAGCAGTGCATGCTAAGCACTGTCTCATAAAAATCAATGCATATGCAAACAAACCTCTTTAGATTTTAGGTGGTTAGTGAGTAATTGCTCTCTCACTAGTCTGTGTTCCTCTATCAGATGAATTACTTCCAAAACATCGTCAGTGTGTTTTACTTTTTCTACAGCTTCAAAATATTTTAGGACCTTTGTAATATCATCTGAATTTTCTTTGTCTCTGTATGAATCCTGAACATCCTTCCATCCTTTAGTGATGTATTTGGTGATCACAGCAATTCCTGGAACAAGGGAAGTGGCTGGTTACTCAGTAACAATATCAGAAACTGCCAACAACATATTCTTAAAACAGACTACCAGTCAACAGGTTAAAAAAATGTATATACTGAAAACATTTAGAAAGTTCTCTGTTGTAAAGAAACAATATTTTTCCATTTTAAGTTTACTCCAAAACGCTTCCGAAATGCTAAAGGATCACATCACATCACATCACAAGCTGTAATTAGATTTGTAATATACAAAGTCTAACCTAATAAGTCACTGATTCAACAAAGTGGATTCAGATTTCAGTCATACCTATTACAACCAGTGACCATAAAATGTAAGAGAACAATAAAAATTAAAGAAAACATATTTTCCAACTTCATGTAGTTAAACTGCTATGATCAGTCATTTCTTCATTCAGCTATTTCTGTTCAGAATGCTATGCTCATATAATATTCAAGCTATCCCTATAACTATAGGCCTTTTTTACCATTTACCTTCATTTGCAGGCTTCATGTGCGACAGTCGGAGTAGATCTTTGTGTGACCATCCATTCCTTTGTTTATATTTTGTCACTGCCAGTGCCAAACACATGGCATCTTTTTCATTATACCAGTCAGCCACTGCCTTCCTTAGGGCACGGCCCCACATACCACACTTCATGCCTTCTTTGAGGTCCTTTTTGAACTGGATGAAAGAAAATAGGTGCGTTGGAATGCGGCATACCTCTTTCACAGCCTTGAAGGCTGCTTGCTTGGTCTTTACATCTGAGTGCTGTGAGCAAACAGCAAGGGCAAAAAGAGCAGGGTTTGGCTTGGCAGCTCTTCCTTCCTGACTGAATGTCTTTATTTCTTGAACCACCTCACAACCTCTGCCCTCCTCTATAAGTCGTATTAAGGCTAATGCATTCTCCAAGCTGAGCTGCTGCTCCTTAATGTAGTATGTACCTCCCTCTGATCCAAAGCACAGAAAGCGGTGTAGACGAGTCATATCTGTCACCTCCCATGTATATCCGCCTGCAGAGTTAAGCATCTGTTCGTCATTCAAAGGAAGTGCCTGTGACAAAGGGTCTCCTGAAGATTGCATTGAGTCAATTCCTTCAGGCTGAAAAAAAGTTAAATAAATAACCATTTATTGTTGGCAACACCTAACGTGAAGAAAATAAAGGTCACTACATAAAAATGTACTTTAACTTTTTTTCCCCCTGAAGACCATTTAAGGAAAAAAAAATGCTTACATTTTGTACAACAGAAACTTGTACTCTAGTTGAATACTAATAAAATAATCGTCTAATTTGTTTTTTGGGCTTGTTGTGTTTCTATTTTAAGACGTGAAAGTTTCGGTTGTTATTTCAAAAGAATACTGTTTTATTTATTTTGTCACAATGTATCAGTCACTTCGAACTACAGACTATGTTTTGTACAGCTCAGGTCTGTTTAACAGTACTTCATAACAACTAAGTTCCTGTGGTTGCATTTTTGGTCTAAGTCATACACAAAATGTGTACAGTACAGAATTAATTGCATATACTTGACCTTTGTACCTTAGCATAAAACTGTTTCTCGTGAGATTTAACTTGAACGCAAGAATATCTTGAAAAAAATAGATGTTTTAAAATACAGCAGAATATCGAATGAAAACAACTATTTTCTAAGCTTTCAAGTCCGTTATCTTATCCTGTTTCACACAACGAAGGAGGGACCTCCTCGCAGATCGGAACTTCAGAAACTAGTCACGGATTTCCAGCCAAAAAAAAGTTTTGATTTGTACCACTAGAGATCTTCAAGTGCAAAACGAGCAGTAAAAGGCACTAAAGACTTCTAATAGAAACGTTAGAATTAGGTATCATCGGTTATACAGCTGAATAATAGATACCGAGAACTATGTGGATCGTGATAATTACAGAATTATTGTTGACGTTAATGTTAATTTATCAGGATACTTAAATCTGCAAGGGGATAATATATTGAAAACCTGTAAACATGATAAAAACAATAAAAGCCTAATCATTTCATCTGCAAATAACGTACAGAATAAATCCAAATGACACTTGCTATATTACAGAAAAATAACTAATACAAAATCTTTGCATTTACACATATTTAACGACTCAAACAGAACAAAAATGCAAAGAAAGCAAAAAAAAAAACGATTCTCGGTGTACCACAAAGGGGCCTTACAGTGAAACTTGTTACTTCAGATGCCTGCTTTCTCTTTCCATAGCCGAAAAAAATGAGTCATCCTCATATTTGCAGTCGTTCAGCATCAAGCTCGGCTCACTGGAACACTAAGTACTTAAGTTATTAAGAATGTCACTCATTACAATCTAATGATCATGCTTGCGGAGTACAAATGCTAGTTAAATGGGAAAACGTTTTAACGATTTAATGCCACTCAAACATAACTAAACTGTACCGAATGTGGTATCTTACCTCCATGGAGTATCGGAATCCAAGTTTATTATTTTCCCCCCACTGTGTATAATGTATTATCTAGGTCCTATGGGCCTCCCCCAAAATCGGCCAAGCCGTGACAACAAGAAACCGCAGTGGTTGCTGGGAGGGGACAACAGTGCAGCTGTTCTGTGGAGCTCGCCACCCGTGCCACTGGTCTCGCCAGGGATTTCTGTTAAAAATGCAGCATGATGATAACACCAAATCAGATACAGGGCTCGATCTGTTATACTGGAAATCGAAACTGTATTAGACAAGTGCAGGATAAGAAAAAAGTTGAACGAAATACGTGTCTTGTATTTTACATAGTGTAAAAGCAATAATTCATCTTTTAATGTAACTGGTACAATATTAAATCTATACGAAAGCAGAATTGAAATAACAATGACTAATGCAACTTACATACAGCTCCCGATAAAAAATACCAGACACCAAGTTTCATTCCAATTACGTTCGGTGATATTAAAAGCCTGTAACTGTGCCACCCCTTTGAAACGAATTGTACCAATACAATATAGTAGTTATTTACCAATATGACATATTTCTTTACGTACAAGGCATATTACGTCAAAAGATATAATGTATACATAACATTTTGTTATCGAAATTAATTTGACAGAATCCACAAAAGTATATGCTTATAAAAATATCAGTTTTATTTGTCGTAATGCAAATCATTACCAATCGTTCAAAAATATTTATGTTTTAATTATGTCGAATGTATTTGAACACGTATTACAGTAGCTTGTTCGGTTCGGTAATTTCAGCCGTATTAAGGAGTACGTCTAAACCTAAATTACTAGTTTGACCAGCAGTTAATTATTTCTTTTATATAATATAGACGAAACAGTTATCCAAATTTTAAAACAAGGTCCCGTTACCATAGAAATAAAGGGAAAATACTACAAGATATCTATGGTAAATGCAAATATGAACCCTCTAGATATCTATGGTACCGTTTATGCGTTTTGCAAGGATTGCCGGGAAATAGGCAGAGAGTCTAGTCCAGTGAATGCTGCAGAGTGACGGATGAGAGAGTTTACAATTTTCGTGTTCGGTTTTGATAATCGCTTGAAAAAATAATAAGAAAACAACAATGGCAGGGAGCGCCGGAGAATGGTGTCTAATGGAGAGTGATCCGGGAGTCTTCACAGAATTAATTAAAGGTTTTGGTGAGTTGGTGTAGCCTAATACATTTCTTGAATAATTATGTACGCATAAGCATGCTTTAGTACACTGTGTTTGATTCGCCCATCAGCCTTTTATAAGAATTAAAGGCAAAAACGTATTTTCTGACGTGGATAGGTATTAAGGCTAACATTTTAGTTGCTTGGTACTTTAATTTGGTACTTCAATCTGTTTTACCTTGAATGAAGTGAGCCAAGGCGTTTTCACTGGTGTACTTGCCAGGCCCAACAAACTGCAGAAAAGCAGTGATGTTTAGCCCATTTCATTTTTAGGCATTGATGTATGGGAAAGAAACCATCTATTGAAAGAAAAAATGTTTTATTTAATGTGAAAATTCTCAGTGCTGTGTGCGAGAAAACTCTGAACACAATGTTTTTGCCTTTTTTTGCATTATTAGAACTGAGTTCTGATGATGATGGTGAACTTCATTGTTCATATTTGTTAAATTTGTAATCTTGGAACGTTTGTTAAAAGGTAGAAAACATTTCGTATCTGTAATTGTATGTAATTGTAAACGTTTTTAATTAATATTATATCCTAAGATGCCGATATTGTGAAGCTCGTCTCGCATTCCGGACATTTATCATATATTTTCCATTAGTATGTGAATTTTCCCAGAATAAAATGTTCTATTAATATATTATACGTTTTGGTTTTGTATGCATTGCTACAGATACAGTAGTTACACGTTACAGGTAGGGTAGTTACGTACTGTATGTCATATATTGGTCAAATCCCTGTTATTTTGAGGCTTTTAAAACTTTGAATGAATGGGTTCTTGGCGATGTTTGATTAGGTCTTTAGACTCGGTGAATTAAAAATTTAAATCATGACTCTTAGTAAAATTCAAATGTTTCTATTTTTTAGGTTGTAAAGGAGCACAAGTTGAAGAGATATGGAGTTTGGAACCAGAAAACTTCGAAAAACTGAAGTGGGTTTTCTAAAAATGCACACAGAACAACTCGCATGTTTAAAATGAGATATAGAATAATCTTATTTGTTTATATCTCAAACAGAGGGGAGCAAACAACATTCTGAAGGATGTGCTCATGCTATTTTTTTAGTTTCTTAGGTTTTCTCACGCATTTTTAAATGGTGTTCATAAACCGAGAAATTAACAATGCCATAAATTTGGACAAATTTTATAAAATAATAGGGACCGATAGCAGAGCAACATCTTTTGTTAGTTATCACACTAGTTGTTTGTATGCTCCTGCAGTTTCTATTTCCAATTATCTCTGAACTTACAGTGTTCAAACTAAGTACATTAGGCCCTGCATGTCACCAGTAACTAGCCTAGAATTAGGATATGCTGTACCATGCAGTGTAAGTACACCAGATTGATTTCTAATTGTTTTGAATTAACACTGCACATAATGGTGACAGCCAGGCACCAAAGGTAGAAATTCAAAAAATAAATCTTAGATACCCCTAAAGTCTGTAGAGAAGTCTTAAGTCTATGCCTGTTACATTTAATGGCAGTAAATATCACACACAAAGGACACACGTGAAGTCTTAAATTTATTTTTACTTGTCATGTGAATTAGAAAAACCATTGCAGTTACATCTTAAACTTAATATGCTAACTTACATATACTTACATAGGCTTTCGCCTTTTGTATATGTCTTTAAAAGCTTGATTTCTGTCCTTGGATGCCATACTGTACATGTAGCAGCAAATGATTTTTAGCATGTTCTTTTGCAGACCGGTTCATGGATTGATTTTCCTTTTCAAGTGGCAGCCAGGAGAAGAACCTGCTGGATCTATTGTTCAGGATTCCAGGCTGGACCAAATTTTTTTTGCCAAGCAGGTACTAAGCAGAAAACGAGAAATTCTGCGAGACCTTATTACGGACAAAAATCAAGAATACAGAATAAAGAACAAAAAGTACTAGGTATTTAATGGAAGCTAAAGTAAATGACTTGTTTTTAAGCATTGGAATGAAAACCAAGTTATTTAGTTATATTTCAAGAAATAATTATATTGCATACCTTAAAGGTAACATATAGGCTGTCATTTTTATAGCACTGGCCTTTCATTTAGAATACCACTACCTTTTAGCAGATGTTTAAAGATATCTATTCATGAAAAACGTCTAGATGACAATGTTTGCCACAGATGTTCATTATGGAAATGATTGGCATTTTGCTGAGCCTGCCCTTTTATTTATGCCTTTCTCCTCTTTCCTTTCTAGGTCATTAATAATGCATGTGCTACCCAGGCTATAATCAGTGTGTTACTGAACTGCACACATTCTGACATGCACCTTGGTGAAACTCTGACAGAATTTAGAGAATTCTCACAAAGTTTTGATGCTGCTGTAAGTAAATGTTTTAGGTTAATATTTGTCTGTTGGGGACAGTGGTGCAGTGGGTAGCATTGCTGCCTCACAACACTGGGGTCCTGAGTTCAGTTCTGGACCTGGGATGCTATCTGTGTGGCATTTGTATGTTCTCCCTGTGTTCGCATGCGTTTCTTCCAGGTTCTGTGGTTTTCTCCCACAGTATAAAAACATACTGGTACAGTAGGTTGATTTCCTTCTGGCCCTGGTGTGAATATGTGTCCATCTACCCTGGATGCGATGAAATGACATCTCATCCAGGGTGTATCCCACCTTGTGCCCTATTGCTTGCCAGGATAGGCTTCGGCTCCTCAGAACCCTGTGTATAGGATAAAGCGGTCACACCGTATTACAGTCAATTGTAATTACAGAAAATGTTGATAATAATATTGTTGTTGTTGTTGTTTTCCCCCTTAAAACATTTTGAATTGCCAGGTGTCTGTGAGTCAAGTGAGTCTCTCTGTATGCATTCTCCCATTGCTGAATTCACTAATTAAAATCATCTTAGCTGAAAGTCGTGATTCTCTCACTTGGAGGTATGATAACTTTTCTTTCCCCTAGCACAAGGGAAAAACCTTGTGCTTTCCCCTAGTGCAATCAAAGTCACCCATCTCTTAATGACACTGTGAGCATAAGAAGTGTCCTGTTTGATCATGTTGTAATATTTCTTAATAAGCTGAGGCTGCCCTGACCATCAACTCCCCATAGTGCCTTATGTTTTGAGGAGTCCTGGTCACTCAGCTGGTGATGTGCTGATGGAGTTTACAGCTACATTTGACCACTGATCAAGCACCTTTGTTGTCCTGCTTGGTAGCTGCCTCCAGTTACTTTTTAAGTTTTAAACGTTTTTGTAGTAAAGCATTATTTTAACTCCAGCCAAAATAGAAAGTTTAGAGTTAATCTTAACCCCAAATAAACAGATTATAATTTAAATGAGATCTGCATTAGAATGAAATAATGTGGGAAAGCAATTAAATATATTATGGTCAGTTTTAATATGAATTGGACAAGAATGTAAACATTGTGAATATAACATTAATATTTCAGGTGGGTAGCTGCGTCAGCATGCCTCACACCTGAAGAAGGCTCCACGTCCGAAAAGTTGTGTTCTCTTTCTTCTTTTTTTCAGCATGGAATAAACCTATTACTTGTTCCATAACATTAGTATATGCTTGGAAAATGTTTAGGCATAGTGCATTGTAATAGGAAGAAGTTAGACAAAGACAGTGAAGTGACCAATTATCTCTGTCTCTGGGCAACATTGCACCTGTTATATTGAAAAATAAATAATGTTTAATTATGATTAAATTATGTTTGTCGGTGTTTATATTTTTTATTGTATTTATACAGATGAAAGGTCTGGCCCTGAGCAACTCTGAAGTGATTCGTCAAGTGCACAATGGCTTTGCCAGGTATCATAAAATCATGTTTTCATTATCTGTGTAGATTGATAGTCCATGATAATAAAATACAGTATTTGAAATGGCCATTTCATGGCTAAAAGCATTTTATATTTCAAATAAAACAAAGATAAAACACATAGATCTGAGTTTAATAGCAACTACAATTAAACCCTTTGTCTAGAAACAGAGGATCTAAATAAGATAAAAGACTTAAATGCGAGTCAGTTTTGCTTTAAGGTTATAAACTCTTTCAATACATTTAAGAGCTCGGTGCTGAATTAAGCAGGCTTTAATTTGGTATTTTTCTTTTAATTCTTAGGCAGCAGATGTTTGAGTTTGATGCAAAATCATCTGCAAAAGATGAAGATGCATTTCATTTTGTGAGCTATGTTCCAGTTAATGGCAGACTCTATGAACTGGATGGACTCCGTGAAGGACCAATTGACCTTGGTAGGCTCCTCACCCTTTGACAAAAATTTTTGGTAACTCCGTATACCCTGTACAATTCAGTCTTTCATTACCTTATTACATATTTCTCAATAAATGTGTAAATTAGATCGTGCTTGTTAAAGAACCTTTTATCAGTGTCATTCATTTTTTTTCCTGTTAGGTGCAATCCAAAACATTCATTTAGAAATATTAATCTGGCATTGTTTCTGATTTTGTTTTTAGGCACCTGTAATCAAGATGATTGGATAAGTGCAGTACGACCAGTAATTGAGAAAAGAATACAGAAGTAAATGTTGTGATTTTCTCTATATTTAAAATAAAACTTGTATTATTTTAAAAGCAGACCTTTCTCACTTTTACTATTTTGTTCATTTTGTATTACATTTTCTTTATAAAAAATGTTTTTATTTGTATTTTGTACAATGTGCTCACTGTTTAGCTCACTGCCTAGTTAAAACTGGACATAGATCTTAAAATAAATTCTTATCCTTCTAGTGTTAATACAAAACTGCTTGATTTTCTCTTTTTTTTAGATACAGTGAAGGGGAAATCCGCTTTAACTTAATGGCTATAGTTTCAGACCGAAAGATGATTTATGAGCATAAGATTGCAGAGCTACAGAACCAGCTCGCAGAAGTAAGTAAAACTTCTAAATATCAAGTATCAGTCTGCCTATAAAGTCACAGTTCTTGCACATTGACCTTGATTTGTGTACACATCACTAGTAATGAAGTTTTTATTTTTCTGCTGCTGCTATGAATAAATGTTTGTTTTACAGGAAGAACCAATGGACACAGACCAGAGTAGCAACCTGTTAAGCTCCATTCAATCAGAAATTGCGAAATATCAGCTTCTAATTGAGGAGGAGAATCAGAAACTAAAACGGTACAAAGTATGTATATATGTTTTATTTCTAGTTACTCTTTTGAGAAGCCCAACTTTATATTTAGGCATAAGGTTCTGTTGGCATGTGCCAGATATGACACTGACTTGTGGGACTATGGCACCAATGCTGAATTCTTGACTGGAGGTGAGAGCAAAGAGTTTTGCTGTTTGTAACCTAATGAATGTTGATTGTGTGGTGTTATTGCCATTTACTATTGCTCTCATGAGTTTTAGGTAAATCACATTGAGCAGTTAAATCCTGTCTAGGAGAAAAATACATTTGTGTTTTTTTTTAGTTAAATGATCCTTTTTGCACCCCTGAGTAGCATACTTATCTGTTTTACTGGTATTGAACACAGTTTGCATGGGTACATAATGAAATGAAGAGCTTGAATTCCATTGGGTTTTACACAAGCAAGCATCTCTTCCACAATAGAAAGCTCATTAAATATGTCCAATATGTGCTAGTGTAAGATGTCTTAAATACCACTGTTTTGCAAGTACATCCTGAAATACTGTATTCTATAGATTTTAAGTTATAATTCTTTGAAACTTTTTTTCCTTTATCATTTTAAAACCTTTATGACTATCAACTGAAAATAAAAAATGTAGACTGAAGTTTTATGTCACTTAAGTTTGAATCTTTTCATTGAATCAATCCATTTTTAAATTTGTACTTTAAGATTGAAAACATTAGAAGAAAGCACAACTACTTGCCCTTCATCATGGAACTACTGAAAACACTGGCGGAATACCAGCAGTTAATACCATTAGTAGAAAAGGTAAGATTTCTGGTGTTAATTCCTGGTGTTTTTTTTTTAAAGCTTTAGTTTGTCTTCTGAGAGCCTTATGAGTTTTGTTTACATCCCAGTAAATACAATAAAGTAGCACACGTTTGTTCTGATAGTTTGTCATTTTTTAATTCCTTTTGTTGAGGGGAATATTTCTAAAATAGTTTTTAAAGATGTTTATGCTGTATATCTGTAAATTCAATAGTTCCAGAGCTTCTATTCACAATAGCCTTTACCACTGGATTATACTGTTAATTACTTCTTGTAGATTGGTATATTGATTTTTACTTGTTGTTATTTTTAGGCAAAAGAAAAACAGAATGCCAAAAAAGCCCAAGAAGCCAAATGACAAAGAGCTGACCCTTCATTTTCCCACAAAGTGTCACTGAAATAATCCATCACAATCCTCTGTAACCTGTCCAAAGAGCACAGAGAGGTCCTGAAAATAGTTTCAAGTGATTGCTCGAAAACTGTTAATTTGTTGTGCTACATGCATGCAGAAATGTTGAAATAAACCTTTGTCTATTTTTTTCATATATAAAGTTTAAATGTTCACATGCTTTTGTTTGATTTCTTTACAACTAAGCAATCATTGTAGTGTTCCTTGGGGTTAAATTAGTTAACTAGTAGAATTGTGTAAAAACATACATGGTAAAATTATTTTTCAGAATGTCTTTATACCAACACCAAACACCAGCAGATTGTATGCTTAGAGGCACCTATGCACTGTTTGTGTGTGAAACATGGAATACATATATATCAATTTTAATTAAATATTTTTTTCTAGTAACAGCATTTTTGACTTAAATGAAGAAAGTACTGGCCACTAGATGGAGAAGTTCACCATATTAAAGTATGTTAATACTAGACTAAAAAGCTAAGAATGTGCCTATGCAGTTAATGCATGTATAATCAGTGTATTTTCCTATACATTTTTAGTCAGTATCTTAACAAATGAAATGCATTAAGACGTCTTACTTGCACTGAGATACATCCCAATCTTTGTTTTAGGTTTTAATAGAGAAAGGGTCCTCTATAGTTTTATTATAGGAAAAATTACAAATGACAAATTACAGAATATCTTACACAAAAAATATTTTTTTCTTTTTTTTTGTGTTATGTTTTAGGTTTACTGTACCTTGATAATCACAAAATTATATGCGTTAACATTTGTGAAAGGGCAGATGGTTTAAATTGCATACAAACAGGATGTAGAACATACTATCTCCAGAATTCATGAGCATTATTTGTTCATACAAGCAGCATAGGTGCTTTCTATTGAAAACTGTTGAATTGCCATTCAATATGTAATTACCATTATGCATTCAGTAAGTGGAGAAAAATGAAATGGCTCCTACTTCAGAGAAACTCAGTAATTGTTGCAGGTACAGATCAGGTATTAAAAGGCATGTACTGTTTAATACAGTTTTCGCATTACAATTTATTAAGAAACAATATTGTGAAGTAAGATACCCTTGGATTGAAAGTGCATATGCATTTTATAGGTTTTTTTTATTAAGAATTTTGTTTCAAAATTTCCTTTTTAACGTTCAAAGTTAAAACGTTATTACAAGAAAAACAAAGGTGCAATGACGTAAAATCACTGCCAGTCGTGGTTAACAACAGCTTTGAATCGGACTCTGAAACTGAACATCAGAGGTGTAGCCATTTCCTCCTATCTATCTCTGACAGCTGTTTTCAGTTTAGGACAGCATTAGAGGCAGATAACATCTTCCTTTTACATCTTTCACAATTACAGTAGTCACTCGCCAAAAGCAGAGCTGGCAAAACCTAAAAGATGTCACATCCTCGTGAGAACAACCTGCATTCTCCATCTTGAAACAGATGACTTACAATAAGTAAACAGGTTTAATGTTTAGGGAGATTTATAAGTGAATATACTGTACTGTATCTTCAAATGGTTTAGTAATTTGCAGTAGTCTTTCAGTAGACTTTTAATAAAAAATTGAGCATTGCTTAATTCCTAATAAGGGTTCTTTATTGGAAATAAATTGAATTTTTTTAACTTGATCACATTATTTAAAACCTGGACAAACTTTAAAAAAAACGGAAAGCCATAGATCTGTTGTGCGATACATAAATTTACACAAATCCTTATTACATAAAGTAATATTTACTTTATAACTTGTACTATAATCACATGATCATGAAAAGACTTGCAAGTATTCTGCAAGAAAAGAAGCCTATTTAAATGCTAGTAATTCTTTCCTTTTTTAAAGCTTTTAAAAAAACTAGAGACACTAAAGATAAAAGAACATGTAGTACAGACTAAACATGTAATGATGTAGCCCATTGATTTGGACTTGCTGTACTTTTAACATTTGTTTGCTAAATTCAAAAGTACTTTTCTTAACTTTCTGTATATTTATATCCTCCAACTTCCTGAAAAAGATCTTTTTTTGGCAGGATTTAATTTGTGGATCCAATAACTAAGTAATGCATGCTGTATAATAAACGATGCAAATTCAATTTTGCCATAGTATGAAATGCTTTCCAGCACATTTTTTTATATTTCACAGATCCTGTAAAATGACAAAAAGTCTTTTTGAGGCTCTTGACAGACAGTAACTTTCTATCATAAAGTTATTTCTTGCCACCCAATTCATTCTAGATTAGTTTTCATCCAGATGTACAATATTTTAAATCTAAGACGTTATTGAAAGATCAGATCTGGTATTATGGAAAGCAAGATGATACTTCCCTTTAAAAAAAAAACAAGGAAATCACTTTAGTGCTCTAAAGTTTAAATACAGTAACTTGTTCTTCATTTGCAGGGAACACACACACACACTTTTCCAGAAATGCTGGTTCATTTATAACTAAAAAAATTATATAGCCTCCTCTATGTAAAATTAGTTTGTTGTCTGTTAAGGTTTACATTAAGTGTTTCTATGTTTTGCTTTATTATGGCATTTTTACACATACATTTAAAACCTGAATGAAATGTTTCTAACAAGGCAGGTACTCCTTTTGATGCCTATCATTGATGACTTTCAAAAAGGCATAATGGCAAAGAAAAAAGTTCTTATCATGCTATGGTAATTACACATTCAGTATGGATTACAATGGTGTATTTATAGTTGTTGCCCTGAAGATAAATTTGAACTCTAAAAATAACCTCCTTGTTGTGAAATTGCTAAACAATGGTTACCTCAGTGGGTACTGTCCAACCTGTTTTGTGAGCATGGCAATATCTTTTGTCACATCTTAGTTAAATATGAACAGTCAAATAAGCACATGTCATTTCTCTATGCTATGTCAGTATAAGAAACTCTTCCAGAGGAGCAGCAGGAACAGAATTCTATAGCCAATAAGCAGCATCAGGTTTCTCCATCATTACAATTTACGAAGTAAGAAATCTATTTTCCAGGGAAACAATGCAATATTGCATTGAATGTGTTATTTCAACCATTACTGAAGTTAATGCAGAAGTATATCAGTTTTTGTAAGCATTCACAGAAGTGCATCAGTACCTCAATAAAACTATTTGTGAATTGTGAATTCTCCGAAATGATCTATCAAAAAGACTTGGCACAAAAAATTTCTGACCAAAATACAAATGTCTATTTGGTTATTTGATATCTTGCCTCATGCAGTTCAAAGACCGATATCCATAGTACCTTTGCACAAAGACTGCAAAACCTTACATTTTTTAAACTTTTGTTAAGAAGAAATTAAATTTTTTATTTCAACAGAAATATTAATTGCTCCGTACTGCTAGTACTGTTGCTCTGTAAGCCAAGTGTCTCTGATGTCTATGTATTCGAAAAATGCAAACTATTTTTTGCTTCCAGTCTATTTTTAGAAGTCATACAAGTTCCCAGAAAAAAAATATACATTCTTCAGAATATGAGGTTGTGTTTAACTTATAGAGGTAATATTTTCTTAAAATAGAAATGTTTTCAGCCCATGAATTGAAAACAATTTGTCTCCTGACAAATTTGCTATTAAATTTTAAAAACGTAATGATTTCCGTAATTCATTACATTTTTAAAATATACCTCAAGATTATTACTGTTGCTAGCAGCCATATCACCCTGCAGCTCTCAACTGGATGTCCACTGAAGCTAAGCAGGGTTGGGCCTGGTCAGTACCTAGATGGGAGACCTCCTGGGAAGCTACAGTATGGTTGCTGCTGGAAGTGGCGTTAGTGGGACCTGCAGTATGGCAGGGACACTATACTGTAGTGGACGCCATCTTTTGGATGAGACATTAAACCGAGGTCCTGACTCTCAGTGGTCATTAAAGATCGCCGGGCATTTCCCGATAAGAGTAGGGAGTTATCCCGGTGTCTGGGCTGAATTTCCCCCTTGGCCTTTACCGTGGCCTCCAAATTGTCCCCATGTGTGATTGGCTTGCACTTGTCCTGCGATGGACTGGTGTCCTGTCCATGGTGTACCCTGCCTTGCACTCGTTGCTTTCCGGGTAGGCTCTGGCTTCCCGCGACACCGTATGGTATAAAGCGATTTGGCAAGTGACATGATATGACATGATTATTACTTTTCCAGATAATGGATATTTTATACAAGTATTACTTGTTTAGTGTTATGGGAATAGGTATATTTCTCATACATGTAAAGATATTCAAAAGATGAAGTTGCTTTATTTAAACTAAGATACATTATACTAAGGCTTCACACACCACAGTGTATTAGACTGCAGGCACGTTTTCAGTCCATCTGGAACTTTTACAAACTGAACCAGCTTGATATTAAGTGGACCATTTTACCAACTTCTCCCAGCTCTCAGTTCCTACTGCTTTAAGAGACTTGGTAAGCCTACTCACTTCCAGGGCCAGAATTGGAATCTCCTGCTTTAAAGAAATTAAAAAACAAGTAAATGTTGACAAAATGTAAACTTCCTTTTTTCAGTTATGAAGCTATGACTAATTGCATGTTCATGTTTTAATCTAGTGGGCAACATCAAGCTATCTTTTTTTATTTCTGCGTGCACTGGATCCATGGTTTTTCCAACTCCAGCCCTGGAGAATTGCATTCCGTCAGGTTTTATAGGTCACTTTAAATCAGCAGTATCTGAAGAGCTGGGAAAAGCTGTTAAAATGCTGCATTTAAGCCAGATAGTTATTTCAAATGTTTCATTATGAGCTGCTATGCTATTAAAGTCTATAGAACAGAAGCTCTCCAGAAATGGGCTTGAGACCTCTGGCACTGGAGAATATGAAGAATCGTAAATGAACAATATAAATGAGAATTATTAATAAAACAAATTCATGAGGCATTACGGAGATCAAAGGGTTATTAAAAGTTACAGAAATGTGTTTGATCCAGACATACAGCAGTGCAGTATGCATACCTTTTAAAAATTGTATTACAATCTAGTGTGGATCTCCAGTATTGTTTGCGATTATTCCTGGGTGTGGTTCTCTTACGCAGACTGCCATATCTTTTTTGCATGCTATCTTTCTGCCAAAGTCATTCTCGGAACGCTTGTCATGACATTCTTCCCCAGTAGCTGGCAACTGCTGCACCTAGTTTCAGTGTTAGACAGCATACATGCCCCAACTCATTGCACCTCTATTTCACACTTAATCCTGATTTCATAGTCACAGGTCTAGCTTAATCCTCTCTTGATATCTATCAACAAGAACATTCCAGAATGAATATATTTAATTTTTGAGTAAAACGGAAGAAGTGCCTTTTGTGGTATTCTGTTATGGAAAAAATATCAGAATGTGGCTAATAAATCTTTAAATTGCAATCTGTGTTTTATTCTAAAAGAATATGGTTTATTTTTTTACTACTACAAAAACAAAAATAATTCTACAAGAAATTAATCTAATCTTTGCTTGAACTACTGTATGTTGCTGCTGATGAACAGAAAAACACTTTTATCGCTGATTCAATGAACACACATTGCATCTTCTTCCTCATGAATCATTCATATCTCCTGGATTTCCTTTCTTATAATCTCACAATCTTTGAAGCCATCCTGTTAACGTGACTGAGAGCAATGTGAATGTCACAAGGACATCAATTATGAAACTGCGACATTGTGCTATGTCATTTTTTTTTGCCACTGATAAAGAGTTATCTACTGTAGATGGGTTAATGCAACTGGAAGTAATTTGAAAACAAGAAAACAAATGATGATTCTCTATTCATTTGTGCAAGTTCTGCTTAAATCCTGTATAGCATTTTCTTAACCAAACTGTGTTATCAGGCATGTACATGTTTGTATCTCGTAAAATCAATAAAACAAACATTCCATCCAGGGAAGAAAAAAATATATGCTGAATTGAATCATTGTTCTTCATTTATTCTACAGTTGAAACAACCATGACATTATTTATTCGGAATCGCTAAGTACACAAGTAATAGCTAGGTTTTTTCTTTAAATTACATTTTTAAAATGAAACAATTTCCCTTTTAAGTGTATCACCATGTGACTTAGTTTCGGCTACAGAAGCTTATTTGTTGCTCTACCTTCATACAATTTGCATTTGTGAGAAGTTTAATTTAAGTACTACTGTATGCAGTATACGTTTTGGGTTATTCCATGCATAGATTAGAACAGAAAACATACTTTCTGTTCAACTTTGGGATGTCAAATGACCATAAGTATTGGGACACATTTACATTTAAACAAATTTCAGAGTGTAAAAAATCCATATTTGGTTGCATATCCCTTTGAGGTAATAAATCTGGCATCCACAGAGCTCACCAACCAAACTGTTTATGTAAGAGTCCGAGATACCCTGCCAAGCCTTCGCTGCAGGTTTTGCCTACTGGATTGTTCCAACTTGTTATAAGTTGTATAATTATCTAAGTGAAGAAAAGCAAGCTGCAGTGTTTTAGACATGTGGTTAGACAAGAAGCCTCATTAGAAAGAGATATCATGTAAGGAATTGTCAGCAGAAAACTATAAAACAGCCTGGGTAGCAAACTTAACATTGTGGCAGAAGCTGTCACTAACTGCAGCCCATAAAGCAGCAAAGAAACAACTCACTGTGCCTCATCCGTGCTGCAGTTCATCATATTAATGATTTTATCTTGGTATCATCCCTCCATGAAACTTTGTTCACCAACTGTACTTGCTTAGCTTTTGCACCAAGCAGATTCTAATGTTGATTTTTTACTCTCATATCATATTTGGTATGCCCAGTTTTTTTCTTTCAGCTTCATAATTGCTTGCAGCTCGTTAACAGTAAACTGGTCAGTTTGAGTTGCTTTTCAGTTACCAAAGTCAAAGAAAGACAAACTGGTAGGATAGCCACAGCTCTTTTATGAGTGCCTAATTGCCCAACAACAAACACCTGAAGAAGAGGAGACACCTGTCAGCCAATTGTCTCAATACTTTTGTCCCTTCAAAGAGGAGTTGTGTTTATCAGTCAAGTTTTTTCATTAAAAATGATTATTAGAGTTCATAGTTAAAATTCTAATTTAGACTTCACTGTCCCAATACTTTTGGGAGGCATTGTATGGTGATTTCATTAATAAAAATGAAATAATAATAATATGTTATATCTGATTAGATTTAGGATTTTACAAAATCCCTATTCTAATTTTTGTATAGGTATTATACTATCATCATTAATCTGAGGTGCAGACATTTGGCAAATGTAATCTAGATGTAAATATGTAGGTGATGGTGTCTATCAAATTAGGGATTTCACTTTTTCTCTAAGACAATCTGTACTTTTTTATCGATTATCTCCATAAATCCTTCCACGGGCTTAAAAACATGGAACAGGCAATTAAATGCAGCAATAACACTGAATCAACAATGAGGTGTACAAGATTATGAAGAAAATGTATTTAGAAGACAAAATATACAGACCAGGTAAATTGTTACAACAGTATAAAAATAAGTTAATATAACTAACTTGCAGTCCAGCTGCTGTTTCAGTTTGAGTCTAAAATATTGTTTACTGTATGTTCAGAAAGTCATATATCCAATCATCAAATGTAATTGTTAATGTAAAAACATAGCAGCCTACAGTTACATATTCCTGTGTTTTTAACATTTACTTGGGGATTCAATAAGTATGAGCTCTTGAGAATCAACCTCAATTGTGATTTTGTAAAATTCTAAAGAAAATAAAAGATACAAAATAAAAATAAAAATATAATAAAGAATATATATATATATAATTCAGTACATTCACATTCTTGACTTATTTGCCTGAGGTTCAGGAAACACACTCTTTATTCATTTTCCATTTAAATTCTGTTATTCAAAGAAACAGGAAGTTGTTGTTCCTGAAATGAATTTTTAAATGCTTCAAATTACAGTATAATACTAAAATGTAAGCCATGTCTTAGATAAAGAATTAAATCATTCATGTAAATGAACGAAATAAAACTCTTATTAAAATTATAATTTCTGAAAAGTGTAGAGTTACCCTTTAAACACTGTTTACGGACTCTGTTTACGGGCTCTTTCTTAAGATCAATCCGTATTTGGAAAACAAATGTTGTGTCAGTAATTATACAGTATGTAAACTGTTCATTGTGATGGGATGTACAGTATGTAGCTATTTTTGGCCATGACTTATTACAAGTCAAGGAATGCTTGGAATCAAGTGATTACCTGTCTTTAGCGGTATGAATTGGGTTCCATGTGGACCAGCAGAAAAAGTACTAGAAAATGTAACTTGCTCATATACCATTCCACAAATTAACTTAATATGTTTGACTTTTCATACAGTTTCAGGCACTTTAGTGTAAACATATATTCTTTTTTTGGTTATAATTTTTTCTAGTTACTGTACTGCTCATGGAAGAATTACTTAATTTACAAAATAACTTGAAATTGAAAGTATATACATAAATACATAAATTGTTATTAAGTTTGTTTTACATGCATCTTTACCTAAAGCTTTTTATGGCTGAAATTTTATAGTCATCCTCTATGGTCACCTATTACCTTTGTTTTAAAAACAGCTCATATCACACTGAACTTTCTCCTTGGACTCACAAGGGATCTTTTAAAAACATAGAGTTCTGTGGTGATGTGGATACTGTTTTCAGTACAGTATTTTCTGCAATCTGGCTATGCAAACTCCATAGCCATAGGCTATGGCTCCTTAGGCTTTCAAACTATGCAAGCCCCTGGTGTGGTTCATGATTTCAGGTATTTCCCTTTCCCTTGAGATATTGCCCACAGTTCTTTGTAGATTTCTGACTGTAAAAATCGTGGGTATGAATTATTCTCCATTAGGTTGTAGACTCTTTTCTGTGCAGCATTAAAGCAAGAGGTCATTGGCACCTGAAGATTCTGGATGATGGTATCTTTTGTATGAAAATCCAAATTGATCTGAAACAAATAAATAATAGCAGATATAAGAAGTCAGAATATTTCTAAAGAATTTTATTCCATATATAATAAATACACTTTTAAAGAAATTATATTTAAGTAAGAGAGTAGAGCATGTAGGAATTAAAGGTGTCAGTAATGTAGTCATTTTTAAATAATCAAGTAATAAGTTTATTCCATGCTGAAAAGAGAAGAAAGAAAACACAACGTTTCAGCCGTGGAGCCTTCTTCAGGTGTGAGCTCCATGGCCGAAACAACATTTTCAGCATGGAATAAACCTATTACTTGTTCCTTTAAAGCCTACGCATGCTGATGCAGCTACCCATTCGAAACATTTTTTAATAATGTCATTAAATGCATACTGACCTCTTTTGGGGCCTCACTCTTGATGAATTTGTTATAAATTGTATTTGCCCTAGAGGCTCGCTTCGCTGGTGACTTGATCTTTCTAAAATCTTCACAGGCAAGCCAGAACTCGATATTCTCTTCACAGAACTCTGATTTCAGGAATATCCGGAATGCAGCCTGTCCATCTGCAATACATGAGAGAAAATAATACTTTTAAAAGGAAGGAAAAAATAAACATCTTATCGAACAAATACTATAATGTAGACAGAAAAACATTGTAAACGTACTTGCAAAACCAAGCAGTAACACAAAGCTTACACAAAGCCACTTGAATCATAAGCCCACTGCAGCATGTGTGTAGCATTGTTTCTCTGTTTCACTTTTTTCTGTTAATGCACATATATTAATTGAGAGACAAATGACAGAAACAAATTCCTGTGCCCTGTTGACTTAGGCCCCGCTCTGATGTCTAGCATATTCACTTCAAAATCCTTGACATGATAAAGAAAGAAAACAAAACTTACATTTATGTGACAGAAGTTTTTCAAGAGACTGACTCCATTGGTTTACTTCTTCAACTGTAGGTCTGTCATGAAAGAACATGATTTTTTAGAATGAAATTTCACTGAGTGTCATCAATAACACTCAGATGCAAAATTAAAATCCCACAGTAAGCCATATATAATTAACATGTATTCTTAAACATATCTTTCAAAAAGTTTAAAATCTGATTGTATATGTTACCTGTAGGCTTTACGTCTTGAGGAATGGGCTTCCTTAGAGGAGGATTTTTGCAAGAAGTAGCTTATCCTTGATCTCCAGTTATTTTGTCTGTTATTGGAAACAAAATGCCACATTATAGGTATCTGTATCTGTCCTTGTATACAGCTTCTCTTCTTATTATTACCTCTAGTTCCTAGTTGTAGTATATGATTATAGTTAAACACTACACTGCATTGTACAGTATGTACTGCTAAAAATTATATAAGCATATTTATGCCATATTTTCCACTCTTGCACACTGTAGAAGAATCTATAAATCATAGTGAAAATGCAAATGTTATCATTATTTAGATACTTACTTGTTTCTCTTGTTTTCAACTGGGACCTCTGACATCTCTTCACCGCTAAAGCAAGCCATATCCATTTGTTCTGAGCTGTACAACAGGGGCAAAAATAATGTACTCTGCATCCTTTATTCACAAATACTTCCTACAGACCTCACTGTCTTTTTCAATCTGGTTTGTGTGGAGCTTTATGTCCTCTGTGTAGCGTTTCAGACATGGAGGCGGTGTTAGATTTACATGTACCTGCTCTGGAAAACCATTGGCTGCCTGGTGACAAATTGTTCTATGTGTTACGTGAGTAAGAAAAGTTCTCACTAGGGTACAGCTGTGACGTATAAAGTACACAAAGTACTGCCACAGGCAAAGCACAGGCGTAACTCTTGCTAAAGTACAGAAAATTAACACTTTGCTTTATCAGATGAGCATAGCTGTAATTCAGTTTCTTCATGCTTGCTATCTACACTGGTGAATTTGGCATTGGAGTCTGTCTATAGTTGGTTGTGGTAGAAACAGAAACCTTTTTTTTTTTCCCATGGAAAACACAATGCTCACTTCTCTTGACAAGTTATGTGCTTCTCATGTTTTAAAAGGTCCTTTATGCCTTTTCATTTTTTCATTTAAATTTTATTTTTTATTTTTTAAGTTTGAATCTTTGTGGGGGACAATTTGCCCATGAAGTAAAGGTTTCATTTTAAATCCGTTCTTCTGTTGTTCATTCATGGGGACGACTAATAAAAAAATCAGAGATGAAACAACAGAGTTCAAAGTCCTACTTTGGTTCCTGCTGAAGTCCTATTACCTGATTTTTAAGCCCTCATATTTTTACTTATTTTTCATTTGTAGCTTCATTTTCAATTGTTAATTATTGCAAATACTGTCACCTCTGACTGCCCAAAACCCCTGTGAAAAACTTTGATTATACTTTTGTTTGAAAATATGTATATTTTCCTTGAAAGCTAAATGTGTTAAGTGCAGAGGATCTGTTAACAGTATTGTTTGAATCAGGGAACTACAGTATAACCTGGGTAAATATTAACACAGTCATAAAATTTTATAGTGGTTTTACCCTTAGGAAAATATGACCATCCTTATGAATCTACAGGATTTTTCGGAACATTAAAAGCTGTGGTCAAAGCACAAATAGTGACTGATGCAACTCTCTGAGCCACGTCAGAGTTCTCCTAACAGGCCATGACAATAATATGTATAGTACGCAGTAGAAATACACTACCCTTTGACCTATTCAAGGTGAAAAGGTGAAATGAAAATGCCAGTTATTTTATGTGACAAATATTTATAACCCTAACAAATCAAGGGCACAGGCTCTATTTAGAAGTGAGATAAATGAAAAAAATCACATTTCAAAATGATCAAAAACGGGCCAGCACAGTAGCTCCGCTGCGACCAGGAACTGGAAAAGCTGGTTAAAAAATGAATAGACTAACATATCTAAGAAAAACATGCATCATAATCTCATATGTAATTTATCAAATGATGTAATTATAATCACCAAATAATTTGCAGACTGACGTGGGCTCTGCTCCTGATCTGACCTGTGGAAAATGACACCTCAAAGTTGTACGCAGGACATACACTCATTTAGACAATCATTTCCTTTCCAACTGCAATCCTAAACAGAAACTCATAAGGGCATGACGCCACACCCTGTCAATACACCAGTATCCTGCAGGTTTCCTGTAGCACTGAGGAGTTGACAATGTGAATTAAGCCGAGAAACGTCTAGCCAGCTGTAATTAATCTTATGCAGTGACCATGCAGTTAGTTTAATAATGGCACTAGGGACTTCAAGCTTCCTGCCTACTGGCTATAGGATAGTGACAGACTTGAGTTTGAACGAGTTATTCCCAGATTGTAGAGGTAATACTGCTGTTGTGGTCAAACATTTTGTTGGCTGAAGTACAATGGAGAGCCTCTTGTATTACACAGGAGGTTTCATTCCATTTTGAAAACATGAATCTCAGCTCACATTTGCTTCATGTGCCACTGAATGTTACAGATACTGCACAAAATGAATGCTGTCGAAAGATAGAACTGTTTTCTTCATGAGCCACAGGTCATTGCTACAGTGAAACAAAAAAGATGTGGTTAATTTCGGCAACTGCAGGAGCCCACCACTTTTACCCTGAAATAATGTTTGTGTCACAAGGAGGTTAATGTTTTAGAACTTCACAATAAGTAGCATTTCTGCAACAGTACTTAAAAAGTTTCTTTTTTGTTTTAATTTTTGCAAAAGAATCATCTGTTAACAGTCTAGATTTCAAAATTCTGAACTTTGTCTTGATCGTGTCAAATGTTACCACCTCAGCATTACCATTTTAAAAGAATTTTATAAGGGAGGCAGTGATACACAGCACCTGAAGTGCACCTGGTGTAATTAATGTATACACTTTTACAGTGATTTTTGTAATCTTAATCTTGTCAGCATTAACCAGAAACCAGAAACCAGAAAGAAAAATAAAACACTGCACTTCGTTGTTAGGTTAAGTATTTAATCCCTTTGACAAACTACTTAAATTACTTTGAAAAGTTACGTGTTCAATTCAATGGCCTCTGTGTGCAATAACAGTGGTTCACATGCTTTCAGCATAAATATACCAGTCTCTGTAAGTTCTCCCAATGAGATAGTCCATGAACACCAGGAAGCTTTAAAAATGTCTTGGGGATAAAGGTGGCGAAAGTCACAGATCGGGAGAAGGGTGCAAAAATAAAAAACAGTGAATGTCCCTTTAAACAGGGTGAAGTTGATTATTTCAAAGAGAAAAGTGTATAGTACCACCCAACCAATAGGCTAGGCTAGATCAGGCTGTTCCTCCAAACTGAACAGCTGGGCAAAAGGAATCTGGTTAGGAATGCCACCATGAGACCAACAGTAACAGCAGTTACTGTTAATATCCTGATCATTCCACAAAGCTGGCCTGTGTTGCAAAACCATCTCAAATCCTGCATTAAGTGTACGACACTGTGCATTTAAGAGACATGGCAAAATATTTTTGGAACAAACACAAATGACACAATTTTTTTTAACTTAAATTTGAGAGTTATGTCTGGAGCAAACTGAACTCAGAGCATCACTAAGGCAACACCATCTCTACTATAAAGCAAGGTGTTTTATTTTATGTGGCTGCCACTCATCACCAGGGACTGAAAATTTTATCAAGAGGGGAAAATAGATGGTAATTCTTAGAGAAACCTGATTAAGTCTATTAAAGCCCTAAACTGAAAACAGTCAAAGAAAGAAGGAACACAACACAATGAAAATCACAATGGAATTATTTTTATCAGAAATTGTGAAAATCTTAGGACATTTTGAGCCTCTCTGTCCACCATCATTAAATTCTACTAAGACTGCTGTCTGACAGGGAGTGCCTCTAATCGTAGTCTACCGAGTACTATACTAGAAAACATTAAAAAATTACACTAATGACTCATTTTCCTTTGTATTAAAATTAAGATGATATACCTCAACCTTAATATTCTATGTAATTTAGTTGTTATAATTTTGAAATCTATAAATGTTTAAAGCCTTTAGTACATTCAGGTTACTCTGACTGTACATAATGACTGCAATTTAACTCCATGCAAACAAATCTTTCTCTGACATCTTGCAAACTACTACTACTACTACTACTACTACTACTAATACTACTACTACTACTACTACTACTACTACTACTACATCATCATCATTATCATCATAGGACAGCGTGGTGGTGCAGTATTAGTATTGCTGTCTCATGATGCTGAGGGCCTGGGTTCAATTGCGGACTTGGGAATCTGTGTTTGTATGTTCTTAAAACAAAAAGAAAAAGTCAAAAGAAAAAAAAAAGAAAAGAAAATGAACACCAACAACTTTATGACTTCTTCCCCATTTTTCATATTAGATCTTAAAACTGAAAAAAAAATTAAATGCTCCTGAAAGTAAATATACTTACTGTGTTTTGTAGCTTGTCATTTATGGGGTTCTTGAATGTCATAATACCAAAATGTTCAAGTTTGTTTTAAAAAGAAACACAACTAATATGAAGAATGCTTATTTACTTTGTAATTTGTTTGAAAGAGCATTGGAAACAATACAGCCCACGTATTTTTGAGGTATGCAGTCTGCAAACCTTTAGTTGTGACCTTTCGTGTGCCGAGCTGTGAGTGCATTACATGAGTAGGCAGAGATGTCTGCATTTGTTTTAAAATAAGACCACCTCTTCAGTCCCACCATAAACTAACAAACTCTTTTTCCATTTTGTTTTTCTTCTTTTACAGTATGTGTAAATTGTTTCCTTTCACACCGCCTACAGCTGATTAATGCGTGAACTTCAAAATGCCTCATTAAATACTTGCATGGTCAGAGCATACCAAACTGCTTGTAACCTGGCATGAACTGAATAAACTGCTAAGGAAAACTGAAAATAAACAATATTAATTTGATTTTGGATTTGAAAGTGCTTTTCACTGCTTCACAATGCATAAGTCATTGATTTAAATTGGTTCCTTACACAAGGTGTTTACAGCATCTGTGCTCTACAAACTGTACTTTTTCCATTTCCTAAATGATGTAATGCAAATATATCTGTAACAGGCTTTGACATCAATACCAGCTTTGTATTAATCCACATTATTCAAATTGTAAATAAAAGCTGGCTGCCAAAGGAATCGCAATGCAAACTTATTTGCATGAGTTCATAAACTCAGATAAGGAAGTTTATACTAGTAAACACATATACTGAAAGTTTGTTTCATATAAAGGGATACATTAATAATTGACCAAACAAATGTTTATAAGTGTGAAAAGATACTTCCAAGTACACTGTCCTTTTATTTTGATATTTCTAAATTTACCCGTTTACTTTCAGTAAAAAATCCAATAAGTGTTAACAACAGGAACAGTCTTCCAGTGGAACATTATTATGGTCCAGGGAGAGCAGCACAGTAATGCCCCAGTTTCTACTCACTTTCAAAAGACATGCTGGCTAGTTTAACCTGTGGTCCATGTGGGTCCTAATGCCCCAGTATAGTGATGGGGACACTATACTGTGAACTGGTGCTGTCCTTCAGATGAGACGTAAAACCGAGGTCCTGACTCTCTGTGGTCATTAAAAATCCCAGGGCGTTTCTCGAAAAGTGTAGGGGCGTAACCCCGGTGTCCTGGCCAAATTTCCCATTGGCCCTTACCAATCATGGCCTCCTAATAATCCCCATCTATGAATT